GGCCCGATAGAGATGCCCCCCCCCCCCCCGCCCCCCCCCCGCCACCGAAAAGCATACGCGGAGTTTGCGAGGTGGTCAGTGAACCCCGTGTGGTGAAACACTGCAGGGCGGTGGTTGAGAAAGCTTAGCCTTCTGCGATTTTGAGTCTGGTCGTTGATGTCGTCGGAATCATCGTCAGCACCTGCACGCCCAGTAGGTTGTAGGTAGTTGGTTACTGGATGTTGGCTGCGGAAAATATGGCGGCCTTTTTGATGAAGAACGTAGTGCTGAAGTTAGGCGTGTTTAGAAGGATGCTGGCAGATGGGGTGCTAACGGTGACCGGCAAGGTCGGTTATTATACTGCAGGCACACCAGACCAACTCCGTGCCGTATTGTTCGCCGATACTAGGGCTTGTCAAACGGTTTCAGAATACCTGGAAAGTCGACATCGCAGAAGACAGGACGAGTAGGTGGATATCGAGGTGTATGCGTACAACAGCAGACAGTATGCGACAGTGATTATGTTGTCGAACTAGTTGATGATGGGTCGAAAGCTCCACCACCTCTACGACCTACTACGGAGTACGAATGTGACGAAGACCGGACCATTGACGGACTATCCCTAACGACTAGTGACAGCAGCCATCCATGTGCAGCAGCACCAGGCAATCTACGACGATCGAAACGTGAGGAATAGGAGGATGGTGGAGGGTGACGAAACTGTATGACTAAACGAGTCACCATCAGGCCTCAAGTCGCTGATTCTGATGCATCAATGGCTCGGTCACGTGCCGGTCGTGGGGCCTGCAGGCTACGTCAATTACCAGGTACAAGGAGAGGTCATGTGGCACGATCCCGAGCAATATTTAGTTCATGTTTCATTTTTTTGACAGGAGGCGGCTCTCAGTTTTTCGCCGACGACCTGCCATTCTAGAAATGAATTGGAGCTTGTATTGGACGACAAGTGGCGGATGACTTGGATACGGCGCGGCTGTACCCGTGTGACATGGATGGCGACTGTGGGAGAGAAGTGATTTCTCGGGATGAATCCAGCGCCTGACCGCAGATGGGCACAACTGGCTGGAAGTGTGAATCCTGGGAGTGCACGCCCAGGATTTCAGAGAACACTCAGTCCAGTCGCGGACTTTCCCTTACGATGAGTGCCTAAAGTCTGGCGGAAAGTGTCTCTGGAGAATGTATCCCAGAGTGCACCTCATCTTGCTGTGGCTCAGAGTGCCCCAGAGATCAAATTACCCTGAGAATCGACCCACTACCACCATGATCATGCGCAGGAGACCGCTAAACCCGCTAAAAGAGTGGCTTTGTGGAGATACACGCGAGTCTGCAATGCAGCATACTTGTTACCCAGAGTGCTGCACGGAAACCCAGAGTGCCGCGCGATGACCCAGAGTTCACCTCCCTGAGTGCAGGTGACCCAGAGTTCCAAAGATGATTCTCTGGGTTTGGACCATAAATCCAGACTCTCTATACTGAACTTAAGTGTTTCCCAAGACAACACCCAAGAATCCCCATAGTTCCCCAAGATTCCTCAGAATTCCCAGGATTTCAGAAGATGACCCTGAGTGTCACCAGGGATTCGAGTCAGTTCGAAGTCAGTCTGCAATCAAAGTGATGCGTGACCTTGAAGAACCGTCGTGGATGCGCAGACTGGATACTTTCGAGGAGTCGAGAGGGAGTCCTGCACCATACTAAACCAAGTCTAGGGACCCACAATTGGCACTTTCGACGCCGTGCGACAATGGATTCGCAAGCCGATCGCAAGTTTGAACCGCTGAACCCAAGATATACTCAAGACAAGACATTTGACCCCAAGCATAGTGAACAGAAGATATTTGCCGAAAAAGAATGCAGAAGAGAAAGAAGTAAGAGAGAGAGAAGTAGCTGATAAAAGACAAACCGAGTTCCTTTTACCCTGTACTGCGCAAGTGACTTCGGCCAAGCCTGCCGACGGAAATCCGGAGGACCCGAGACTACGACCGCGGGACGCTAAGGGCACATCAACGGCGAAGGACAGCCGTCTGTGTGGGCTCCATCAAACTCAAGTCCAGTTAGGTGGTGACCAGCGACGGCTTGAGCTTCCTGGGGTGATCCATCTATTCCATATCCTAGTTGGGTCACTTGCTGTGCTCGTGGTAGCCCATTTCATATTATTTCAGAGGGTATTCTGGGGTGCTAGGTAGTCGCCTCCAGGATTTTGTATTGACTGCTTGTGTGAAGGGAAGGTAACTGATAGTGATTATATTTTCCTCCTTTATTGGAGGTGGTGCGCGTTTGTGTGAGTCTCAGGGGAGCTAGGCCCCTGAATTTCAGACTCGAGTGAGCCTAGTGTGTGTGTGACCCACCGTCCAAGGGTCCAAAAGAATAAGTGACGGCTAGTTGTAGTGTTTGTATACTCTGTATTTGTTGGTTTTATCGAGCTAGGAGGGCATTTGGGTAAGGTGTCTTCTGAGTTCCAAGTCCCAGAGTTGACTGAAGTCCTGGACACTGAATTCGTGATATTCTGGGTTTCAGGGGATCTGATTCTCTGGGTTTGCCTTTTGGTGTGGAGGTGCGTTCTAATGTAGACATGCGCTCCCGCACTTCTTCGAGGCTACATTTTCAACCGGTGGAGTGCCGTTCCGTCGAAGACAAACGAGCCGACAGGGATTACACAAGGTACCCACGCCATCCAAGGAGTGTGATTCTCAGGGTATAAAGCTTTGCGGCTGCGAATCTCTGGGTCTATCTTCTTGCTGTTGACTCTCAAGTCGATTCTCTGGGTCTACACCCTGGGGAACAGTCTTGGGCTGCGCTATACGAACCCCCCTGGGCGATAAAGGTTTCATCGGCCTCGCCTCATTTTGCTATCTATCTTCAACCAGCCACCCTACTGGAGGCAGCAGTAGCCGACAGCGAAGCGCGGCTAGACCATGGAGGTGCACTCGAGCACGACTACAATGCCGAGACTGATGAAGCGGTTGCGGGAGCAGCGGTGGCTCCAGTGCGTGCAGCACCAGCTGCCAGGACTACGAAACAACGTCGACGAGTTGAGCAAGTGCGAGTACGAGGCAGCGACCGGACAAAGACGTAGTGGGGCTACAAAGACGGCGTAGATCGAATGTAGCAGGAAAATAAGTCCCCAAGTGTGAGTTGCGCCGCATGATACTAGATGGCACGCGGCGGCGGCGGAAGAACAGGTGCAAACGATAGATCACTGTCAAGGCGTGCGCCCAGTTACTACATGACGGAATTGTTGTGGAGGTCCTCGACGTGGAGAAGACATGTAACAACATCTGCGGCGGAAGAAGATGGTGGAAAACGGCGAGACGGCGGATACGGTGACGGCGGGCGACACAAGACGGCCTTCGGACTCGATCAGGGCAGCACGATAATGAGCTGCTCGGGAGCGGTCCAAGAGGTGTCGACGGCGGCCGGTAACGGCTCGTGAGTAGCTCGAGCGACGGAGAGTGACACGAAGGAGGTGCAAGCAGCTGGTCGTGTCGAGGCCACATTCAAGAACGGGGATGTAGGGACCAGACAACAAGTGGTGGGTCCACGGACACACATGTAGATGGAGCAGTAGCTCTACAACTAACGAGCGAGGAAGACGGCTTCACACTGAGCGAGGTAGACAGACGTACGACAGGATTACGGACTTTGACCGAAATGAGGCGCGGTACGTGAATGATGAACGCTCGCGATTCTATTCCAAACGCACGATGGTGCTGACGGAGCACGAGTCGCAGCGGTGTGTATGGTCAGCCGAACGAAATAGACGGTCAATGCAGTGAACCGAGTCGAGCTTTTGGTTGCCGGGCCCCCATAATGTCGACCCAGATAGAAACCCCTCGGAAAGGCCCGACACAAAACATCGAGTATAGTATGCAGGTTGAACCGCCATACCCCTAACACGTCTAGTAGAAAGCCACCAATGGCTTCCACGTAGTCAACAGGAGGAGTCACTGCCAGGTCGTCGTCATGGGCAATCTTGCCCGTACCCGCGATCGTATAGCGTACGCAGCTATCACGTTTTACGCACCTAGAAGTACCATTTACCTCCATATTTACCATTGAAAGCCCGTCGGCTGTGCCCACAAACGCAACGGAGTCATCCTTCACTGCCTGCGGTGAACTCTGCGATGCCTTGCCAGGCTCATGCGTGCAAAACCTTTCGGCCACACTGAGCATCCGTTACCACCATCACGCAGTTGCGGCTTTCGTTCGTCAATTGCCGGCTCTGCTACGGCCGCAACCCACCGCCGCTCTTCACCCCCCCCCCCCATCCCCAGCACGCCGTCACTCATCTTCGTGAAGTAGTTATCTCTGTACGGGTTGATCAACCAACATTGTACCCGTCTTCCAGTAAGGAATTACGATATCTACGCCGGCGATAAATAACCCCTAACCGCCGCTTATCGCAAGGATGTTGTGATAGCGAATAGCTCGCCTAGTACCAGCGAAACTCTGAGCATCGTTGAATCGCCCCGCCTTGGGCATGGCTACCACCCCCGCGCGACGGGCCTCACCGCTGCAGTGGACGAAGTCGTAGCAGGTCCTGGAACAGATGCAGGGTCAAGTGAAGACTCAAACTTAGGCGCTCCGCGCGACTCCAAGGAGGGAAGACCGAGCCGATCGCTTTGGAAGCACTTAAACACGAGCAGTACCGGCCGTTCGATTCGGGCATCTCGATCTTCTTCCTGAGGAAGATCCCGGTAGCAGACTCTGGCCGACGCCGAACAGGACGCCATTGTTGATGAGACCAAGGCGGACGTCTGCCGCAACGCGAAGCAGGAGGATGCTACCGTGCTGCGCAACAGCATGGACGACGCCGTACGCGGCGCGCTCTGCACCAACAAGTTCGTGCGCGAGCGCTGCGCTCTGTCGCTCCGTATGAACCCCCAAAGGCAATAGATACGGTATCACGGGCAAGGACACTTCTTTCGGGTTTAGAATGCCCAGCTGTTTTGATGTCGATGCAACCTAACGAAGTTGTGTTGAGTGCCAAAACTAACAATTCACTTGGTCGTGCTGATTTCCTGGAGATGGGGATAGGTAACCATGAAGTCGTTTTGCTTTTTTGCTTTAGCGTGGACACTTTGTGTAAAACCTGCTGGGTGATAGGGTCCGAGGCGCTATTCGGAAACCGATTCCAAAATGTTATAATTGCTGCAGCAAGTATAATATCAGGTTCATCGTTAACAAGTCCTTTCAAGAATTCAACATGGTCTTTTGCATCTGAAAACGTTTCTTGGCAGGTGGACCGATATCTGAAGAACCGTTTTACACTTGTGATCGAGCGCTTTCTGGACAACATCATACGTGTGTTCTCACCCCTGACCCCAACTAACGCTCCTTGAACTTGGACTTGAACCGGATAAGGCGTAGGGGTACCTCCTTGGTGATCCCCATGAATAGCTCTTCCTTGGGCTACGCTTTGGGCCCAGTCGGAGGTCAACCACAGCAACGTCTCCCAGTATCTCCAAACGGTGCTTGCTCCCCACTTAACAGGCTCCTGTCTACCGGGTTTTCTTCAATGACACACGACACTCCACACGCACTCCATCACCTTCTTTCCAGACCTTGGACCAGGTCTTGACAGCTTCTTCACTTCCTCCGGCGGCTCCAGCTGAGAGCCGCACAACTAGGTCTCCCTCGCTCCTCGACCTAGAGTAGCCCCGTGAGTTGGCTCGGCTTGAGCCTGTCTTGATCCAGGGTTCACGTTCTGTGCCCTGGGAGTTCCGCGCACCACGCCCGATCTCCAAATGCCAGGCGGACACCAAGCAATCCACGCCAAATGTCGGGCCGAATCCCAACCAGTCGCACGAGCTCTCCACAACCAACGAGAAGGCTCTTCCTCCCCGGTCAAAATGAAATACACGCCGAGAGCCGCTCCCAAGTATCGGTTCGACGCGTAACGATATGAAATAGCCAAATGGAGCCCTCCTCACACCCAGGGATACCGAATCGGTCTATATGAGGCCTTGAAATCGACTGGAGGCGCTCCTTGACACTCACGACCACACAAAATCAAAACACATGCGTCTATCGGGGCAAATTCGACTCTAATTGAAATCTTACACATGCAAAGATGAACCTATCAAGTGGAGGCGCAAAACACCCTTCGGAAAAACTAAAACAACAGTGCGAAGACGGTCTTGCGAGCTGCCAGCAACGCGCAGTCGCGTGCGGCGCTTCAACTTGAGCCCAGCGATGATTGGGCGAGACTCGGATGCGTCCAGCAGAATCCAGCGGCTCTGGGCGTAATCACCGCCAGCAACCCAGATCCCGCGCTTGTGATTGGACACATGGGGTGCGTCATCAGGGTGCGACGGGAGACGTCAGAGCTGATTTGTCTGCAATCACGGGGTGGCGTGACCTGACACGGCGACCCTCAACAGCGACCCGACGCGAGCACAACTTCAACAGCACTCTGATCCTCCAAGGCTCCGCTCGACCTTGAACTCAAAGTGTCCACCAGCGTCCGCTAAAACCAGCCATGTTCAGCGAAGTCCAGCAAGCTCAGGCTGAACCTCCTCGGAGGCCAGGGAAACCTTCCTCGCTGAGCCGTCAGAGGCTTAGTCGACGCACATCTGGACCTTCGGAAGTTCGGCAATGACGCAGCACGGACTCCTTGACCTCGGGCCACTTCGGCTGGACTTCAGCGAAGCAGCAAGCACATCCAACTGGTAAAAGCCTCACACAGTCTGAGTACGCATGTAGCCGGTAGGATCTGGCTCGGTGACCCGTTCGCGTCCACGTCAACGACGATCTTCGTTCTCCGCGGGGTGCTGGTCATGGTAACGTGGTCGGCCTCACTCCTTGCTAGCACCAGTGATCAGCGCGCGGAGTCTGGATGTGACAACGTTCCGCAAGCACAGAGCCGACACCCCAGGACTTCGATCGGCTCCGGTAACCGTTCATCTGAGTCTCGGCAACGTCTGCACTTCACATCTTAACCTGGCGATCGTCGGCCAACAACCTCAGCAGTCCTGCTTCTGCCGTATCCGTATCCCACACGCTTGTTCGACTTCGAAGTTGCACTTGGGCACCAGCTCCATACGCCAAGCGCTCCACCAGGTTCTCCATCACCGACGTCGTCCGGGCGTACCATGCTTGAGACTGAAGGGTGTAGCTTTTTATCGAGGAAGCGATGTCTGTTCATCGAGGAAGCGATGTCTGTTCATCGAGGAAACTCTGAAAAATGCGAAAGTCGAGGACCAATGATGCTTTGATGATTTTTCGAGGAAAGTGGTCACTCGACAAGCAGCCGGGCATTGCCTCGTGCTGCTCCAAGGCACCCCACCACATGCGATTCGCGCGCTGCTGCCGCATCGCGGGTGCTCAATCCAAAATTGCATCACGTACGGTATTGCAACCCTGGCCAGAACGCGGAAGTTTCGGTCCTATAGTGACGTACCATGAGGCTCAGCAGCGTAGGGTCTGAGAGCGGAGATCTCCACGGGTGGAGTGACTACTCACCTCAGTTGGCCAAGGCAGAACGTACACTAGTGGCGCCATTTTTCGCACCGTTGTATCCTAGATGCCATCGCATGCCGTGCGCTCTTGGAGCTGTTAACCTACGCGATGACAGTACAGGTACATGCATGTAGTAGCGTAGCGTCTGCAGTCCCCCAAAATTTTGTGTCGTCCGGCGAAGAGGACATGCTCTGAGTCTTTAGCTAAGACGTCTTGACAGCGATTATCATGTTGGACACCAGTGAGCGTTAGTGTGATGTCTTTATCGGCGTGGCTAGCGCATTAGCAGTGTGCGGTTTCTATATATGAGGAAGCAATTCAGCAAACGTGGCCCACGGTATTATCGGCTCGTAGCACAAGATACTGCTTACAATTGGAGCGATCCACTCAGCAACACGGGCCGGTGCCGGTGGCGTATGGGCTGTAATCACCCAGGTTACATTGTGATCGAGTATCTATCCAGTCGATGCGTGGTGGTGCTACGACGGCGTCAGCTTGCAGTTATTATTAGTCAAACAGGAATATGGTTTAGCGCTATTACATCGTTAACTCACTGCTGCCATCGGCAAGAATATCAAGACGCAGCAGCGACTGTAATCACTTGTACTTGCTACTGCGGGCTAGATCTAGCGATACGACCACCGTAGGCCGAGATGCAGCGGTGCGCGTCTCCGGGAGTAGGTAGCCGGCTAAACCGCAACAAATTCAAAATCCCATTGCTACCAGAAGAAACGTGGTCAATTGGGAAATGGTATCATAGGTATATCTAGCAACTAGCTATTTAACAGACAAAGAGAACCTTACGTTTCCTTAGAGGGTTTGCGTCAGTGCATGATACGCGACGAAAGCGGTAATCGGCCAAGTTGTTGCGTCACCTGCAGTGGTATCTGTAGCGGTGTTGGCGGCGGCGGTGGTCTATAGCTTCTGTTAAACTGCGCACGCATTGCTTTAACAGCGCCTTAGCTCTACGCCACAGCTACATTATCCAGAACCACTGAAACTCCACGTTTGTGCGCCCACGGTAGCGATGGCGCCCCTGCCCAACGTCGGCATATACTCTAACAGCGATATATCACAATAACTAAGTTGCAGCAAAAGCTGTGTTCTGGGTACCGACTTCACCTTTAATCTACAAAGGCATTAGCGGCTGCAAGAGAAGTTGCAGGATCGGCGCGTAGTGTCTCCGCGGAGGGTGCTTTCCTGTGTCTGCGGCGACGAACTGGATTGGGCCCAGCTCACGGCCTTCGGAAAAATCTTGTGCTCATTCACGGCACCCTGAAGGTCGAGGCGGCGTATTTGGCAGTCACAGACGCTCGTGTCCAGCGCAACTGCCGCCGGCGACAAGAACAGTAGACCACTGCTCTCAGATAGATCAGTGAAACCGCTTCAGAGGTCTCGCAAAGGTATTGCCGACCGGGTTGCTGTTGTAGCAGCAAACCCCTAGTCATGCTACTGAAGCAAGAGACTGCACATGCATTACCAGCAAGCAGCAGCTTGGAGCAGTCTATATCGGCAAGGGGGTAACACACAGCAGCTTCAGACAGCACAGGGGGGGCTAATAACTCCACTAAGCAGCATTATATTGTTAAAGGCGCCGTCCGTAGGCCCCGTGATGATTCCTCGCCGAACATCCGTTTGGAGCGGCATTCCTCGATTAGCGTACTTTTTGCAACATTCCTCGATGAGCATCCATGATTCCTCGAAAATAAGCCCGCCCCTGAGACTGAATCACTGCGTCCTAGACCAAGCATGTCAAAGGCAGTCGACCGACGAGGTTCGCCAAAATCTGAGCGGACTTCGTCACTTATCTCTGATAGCGTTGTTGATGGACCAGCAACTACGGATTCCGTTCACACTCTGGTGCAAATGGGATATCTCTGGCTCGAATGTGAGTTTATTATCTATTGATATGAACTTCTCAAAGGCTCCCAGCGAATACATACCAAAGCCAGATGCAACCCGGATTATTCTTACCCCCCCCCCCCCCCTCACCGCACTTGCGGGGGTTTTCGGTCCCTGGCTTTGATCAATATACACATGTTAAAGCTGTATACTACATGTTAAAAGTATGTGTATTTGATATAACTATTGTCTTCCGTAAGTACGACACATTTCTATAACCTACGGGAAACTGGTTGACACAGAAAGACGCACAGGTTGTCTAAGACGCCCTCGGATGGGTAGCTAAATTTCAACAGGGTGTATATACTACAACTTGTAGTGTCCTTTTTATTGGGGGTGAACAAAACTCAAACCCAAGGGTGGGTTTATGCTGGAAGTATCCTATGATTTGAAAACAAAAAAATACTGTTGTACCTAGCTAGCAATCAAGTGATACGTATTCCCAAGCTAATGGAGTCTTAGCATTATTATAGCGCACGTACTGCTCAGTTTTATTGGGTCGGGCCACTTCCCCAGGCGTCATTATCTGTGAGGGGTACATATTAGTACCTACAGGCGCAATATATCCCTTACAGAGCAAAATATAGTGTCTACGGTGTTCTTTCTTTCTAGCTTGCCTCTTCTTTTACATACCCCGGTATATCGGACGAGATTAATTATGCATTTCGAGCCACTATGTACAATCATGTATTATATCCTGTCTGATCTGATCGAGTAGCCAGGGCATAGTAGGGGTAGCACTGTCGCATACGCATGATGGGGAGAGCAGTTCCTGTTAGCAATCTGAAAGTAATCAAATAATCAGTCTAATCCCCCATTCTCTGCAATTTCCACTCGTTCTTTGTACATATTTTTATCTACACCTGTGCATTTCACGTAGCAAAACACATGCTGCTCATGTAGTTATATACAACGCGTGAGGGCGGGGGTTAAAGCCCGTCCCGAGGCCCTGGCACATCTCTTTGTCAGAGAAACTCTCGATCAGATGCTCGTTGTCTTTCAAGAGCGGGATCTTCAGCCCGAAGCTTTGCGGCGGCACGAACGGTTGCTAATGGAGCGGGTCCGGCGCGGGCGCGTGCTGGAACGGGACTGGCTGCGGCGGACCAGGAACGAACTGCTGCTGCTGTTGCTGCATGGCCGGGCTGGTACCCATGTCTTCGCTGAGAGAGTCGGTTTTCCCTCGCTGTCGACGAGCAGTCAGGAACTGGCTGAATGCGCTCGAGCCTGCTGCCGACGAGTTCGAAGCATACATCCCAAGATGTAGCTGGGCCTTCTCCAGCAGGTCGCATCCGGCGTCTCACACCAGACCCTTGATAAGTCTCTTGAGTCGATCAAGTCGGTCACTGCTCGAGTCGGAAGCAACCCGTTCACTCCCGCAGGCCGACGCGGCGACTTGGCCACCGACAGCGCCATCACCGACTTGACCAGGCACGGGGACAGCAGCGGCTCCAAGAGCTTAGACCGCGTCGTCGGTGGCGTCGCCGTGGGCGTTGGGCTCATAACCTGTCGAGTAGTAGTGCATTGAGATGTTGGTGGCCGGCAAGCCGTCAGATTGTTGGTTACCGAGGAGCCTAGAGTACGAACCGCACTATGAACCGAGTGGACAGCTTCTCTGCGTCCGCCGCTCCTGAGTTCTCGGTCACCACCTCCACGCCTGTCGCCTCTCTGTCTCGTCGTTCCTCACTGCTGCAGCCCGTTCCTGCCGTCTCCCTAACACCCGGTAGTTCGTCGCTGCTGTACCCGCTTGTCTGTCGGGCTTTTGGGGCTGGTGGGTGGGTTTGAACGTCGCATTCCGGTGATGGCAAGTTGGTGCGCAGGGAGAAGTCGGACTCCGTAGCCAAGCATTCTCCGATGACGCCACGAGAAATGAGAGATCTTCGAGAGGACGGTATTGGTAGTGTTCCCCACTTTGGAGGCGTTCCACCCGTACTGCCAGCAGTAGGTAGCGAACAAAGCGAGTTGGTACGAGTGATGGCTCGGGTTTTCCGGTAACCACCAGGGGAGGTTAAGCCACTCACACCACTTAGTCCACTGCTCCCATGTGCTGTTGAATTTTGCGGTCGATGACGTGGCCAACGACCGAGATTGAAGTCGCTGGAGAAGTTGATGTAGAGTTTCCTTAATTCGACCGGGATCGGAATCTGTGTCCAGGAAGACGAACATTTAGTCCATCGAGTTTGATGCGGTTCGGTCCACGCTCGTGAAGCTGCGTCAGCCATCCAGTTGGTCGATCCAGGAATATGCTTGGCAGATACCCGTAAGTTGAAAAATGCTTCTGCTAACCCGATGCACCTGTTAATTTCTTGGCTGAATAATTTGGTCGAATGTAGCTTACTGCACCATGCGACGGCGGCTTTGCTATCGCTCCAACACTTTACGTGAATCATTTTGCCACCGGTTTGGTGACACCACACCGGGTCCCATGACCACAACGCGAGCGCGATGCACAAATGCTCTCTTACGTTGATAGAAAATTCTTCACCAGTCTGTCCAGCGTTTGCTATCAGTAAGAGCTCGTCGGAATCATGCTTTGTCAGTTTTGTCAGTCGGGATCGAAACCGTGCACTCTGTTGTATTCCACAACAGCCCCAGAGCAACCAGTTCAGAGCTCCACCCAGAAAATTTAGACTCGTTTATCGAACGCGGCCCCAAAATAGCCAGCATAGCATGCCGTAATGTCGCTTCTGCGAGTTGTAATCGATCATCAACGTCAGGCTCAACTAATACATGGGCGTCAATCCATTCATAGGGGGGAAATGGGTTACGATTCGATGAGTTTGAAACAAACTCCGGCGAGTTAGATCCCATTAACCAAGATATTGTACGACCGAATAACGCGTAAGACGGTGGCGATTCGGCCAAGCCAAAAGGTGCTGCCATATCAATAATGACAATTCCGAGCTCTGGCACGCAGGCGGCCATGCGAAAAACACTATTTGCTTGTGTTCGCAAGTGCCGGAATGCTCCTTTCACGCCTCCTTTTAGCATACGGATGCAGCCGCTATACCCACAACGGGCTAGATGCTAAATGCGTTGCGCAATGACGATAACCGACTCATAGCGCACTTTGAGCACTGATTGAACCACAAATAAGGAATTCACCTAGTCATGTTTCTGGAAGGAGAGATCGTGAATTGTGCGGATTTCTTCATTTGGGTCGATGTCTTTCTTTTCGACGGCGCCGAGTGGACTGCATACGACTTCTGCACAGCGATCCAATATGTCCATGCCCACAACCATGTACTAGCCTGAATCATGTCCGTTGCGAATACTTTGAGTGACCGCGCGCAAGTACCGCCGACACGACCCGTGGTTTGTCGGCGGAGAGCGCCGCGGTGTGGGTCCTGGTCTCCAGTCCACCTCGATACCTCGTTCCGCTACCTCGATTAGTAAATTCAGGTGGGGGTATTCACGCAATCCTGTCTGCAGTCGCTTGGGATCAATAGCTTTGTTATGTCTGCCGTCCCCGACGTCTTCACCCCGAAGAAATCTCGTCGCCTCGGCTGCACTTAGGTCGTCATTTCGAATGATAGTAGAGAATGATTTGCATGCAGACTTGTCGATCTTGAACGGCGGTGTCTTCGTGCCTCTCTCGTGTATGAATCCACGACCACTGTGCGAGATTGAGATCAGCGATTCCTCGGGAAGCAGCTCCATTTTTAATGCCGACTGGATCATCGCCGCCGAAGCAAGCGCCAATGTGACATGTGATGGGCTGTTCTGACGGGGCCTACTGGGGTTTGGCAAGTCGATAATGGTTTTTTCTTCCGGCCGAATATCACGAGTAAACGCCGAAGCATGTTTACTGGTTTTTGTCACTGCACCAGCTGAATCCGAATTAGTTCTCTCCGTTGGTAAATTGGTTTTGCAAGGCCTCAAACGACGCCCACCTGTACCTCCCTCAGGTAAAGCCTTGCTCGACGCTGCCGAGGAAGCCTCGTGCACAGCTAACTGGGGTCAGGCCCTTGTGTCATTCTTGCTCTTTGCTTGTGTTTTTTCGTCACCGCACGGCTTTAGGGCCGTTCCTAACCGGGATCGTGAACCCAAACTTGGTCTGTGATTGGTCAGTTTAGTTCCGCCTATTTCCGACTGTGTACCCCCAGCGTAACCCCTGCTATCAAAAGAGGTTTATAGTAAATCATGCATTTTATTTACAGCATGTTGCTTTCATTGCGATCTATGGCGGGGTCGCGATCCCGTTAGGAACGACCAGATCGCGACCCCATGGATTGCAGGCGGTGTCACCTACCCCTTTGGGATCGCGATCCCGGTTAGGAACGGCCCTTAGAAGACAGATACCTGAACCTCCCCCACCTGATAATGGCTTAGATGCTACTATGTCAGATGCTTGGTAGTTTGGCTGGGGTCAGACGTATTTGTTGATATTACTCTGTGCGTCTCGTACCCTGACTCCTTCACCCGGACCTCTTGGCTGAAGACTGGTACACCCAAATCCATCCGGTCTTCTCCTTGCTTTGGGCTCTGACTGACTGGGTATTATCACTGGAATGGCCAAAGTCGATGTAACCTGTGATGAATGGCCAACTGATGTATTCCATCTCGGTGGTACTGCTCTTAGGGACGTGGCAAGTCTACTCTTGTTCCGTCCATTTAGCTGCGCTGGACCCTGATTCTGAGGAAGACGCGCTGCCGATCTACCCTGGAGGATTCGGAGACGCTTATGTTCATCCTTCAGACCACCGAAGCGTGTCTCAATCTCGGTTTTGACGATTTTAGCCAGAGTCTTAGGGATAAAGTGTCCGCGATCATTAAGTGTGACGAGGGCGGTGAAACCTTTTACGCCTAGGTGTATAGCGGTAGCACAGAAAGGAGTTGCGAGCAAACCTTTTTGGGAAACCAAAAGGGTTGGTTTTGGTAAACCCTGAACGCAGATTTCCTTGAACGCAGGTTCTGGGGAAAATGCGGCCAGGGTGGTGTGACACCTTGTGAATCCCTATCGGTGCCGTTTAGCTTTGGAGAGCCTGTATCGATCACCTGGTGAGTTGTCTGTGGGGTTGAAAGCTTTGAGTTCGTTGAGCGTATCGGTCACTTGTCTGAGCGCACTTCTCCGAAATGGCAGAAGCTCGAAACGTGGGTGAAGGATAAGGGTTACTACCACAAGTTAGAACCCCAGAAATACACACCACTTTCAGATAACCAATACAAATGCAGAGTTATACACAAACACACAGCTGCCACTTATTTTTAGACCCTCGGGCGGTGAGTCGTACCCAGTCAACTAATTTGCGATCAAGGTACTGGTCAACCTTGAACGCACTTTTACACGCGCACCACCATCAGATGAGGGAAATATACAGACCAAATACAATCCGATCCTAAACGCAGTCAATCAAACTATTCCCGGGGGCGACTGCTACCAAACCACCCGATATATCAATCGTTAACATGAAATGGGACACCACCCTTACCTCAACGCAATGGGCTTAAATTGGACATGGAATACGTGGATCACTTCAGCAGCCGGAGCAGACTGATCCCTACGTAACTGGGCTTGAATGTGTGTGGGGAGCTCCGCACTGCCCTTGTCCTTAAAGACAGCGGACCCGATTCCTCGACGACTTGCACAGTAGGGGGTAAAATGAACTCTCTGATTGTTATCTGCTAGACTATCGATAGGCTTTGTGTAATGGGATCTCTCTCGTAGCTTTCTTCTGTGTTCTTCTGTGTTCTTCGCCACGCATCTTGCGAATATCTTGACTTGAGTATACTGGAACTGTTGACGTAGACACTTTCCACTGGATTCTTTCCCAGCTTCAATGTGCCCGTGTGTTTGTGCATGACCGGCTCTTGAGAGACCTTGAACCCGCATCCTTGAAACCGGGTTTCAGAGTCGACAGGCCTGAACGCAGTGCGTCCAACGTCTGCGGCCAAAGACAATTTGCGCCCAAGGCTGAAACCATACTGAAGGCCATGCGGCCAAGGGTTGGTCGATTCGTACTTGGTTGTAAAACTTGGGGGGACTTCTTCCGGGTGGCCAGCGGTGTGGACACCATGTACGCGACTTCACTGGGGTGGCTGAGCTCCGGGTATACGAATTCGATGTGCGTTCAGGGCCTAGGCGAGGCGGGACACCGTACACGATACGTTCGTGCAGGCATTTTCGACGGCCTCAATGTGTCAACCTGCTTAAGGACGGGGGCGGCCTGGATGGATCGAGTGTGTTCAGGGTTTCTCGTCTGAACGCAGTCTTCCAGGCCTGAAGGGCCCATCGTAGGCTTGAGCGCACTTCGCTCCGCGGAACACAGCCGAATTCCAGCTCAGATCTTGTCACACGGTGTGCAGACGGGTCCGGGTTCAGTCTTGGCCAATCAAAATGGCGGATTCAGGCAAGTCAGTAGACAGGTGATGACCGGTTGAGGCAAAACCTCGTTCAGTCTCGTCACATAAGGCACACACATTCGTTGCCTGCGCACCCTCCTTGGACAAAAACGCATGCAGAATGACCGGGTTTTCCTCGTGGCTGGATCTACTTGTACAGGCAATCGGCGCAGTACGTCCCTCAAGATGCGACCTAAGAGCATCTCCACCGGTTGGTCTCAAACACGGTTTTATCCTAAAAGTAACGCTGTTAAGACTTGGCCGAGACTTAAGGCTTCCACCAGAAGGTCCTATTGCAGGTTTTAACTTCACCGGGACCTATAGATTGGCTTTCGAGTCTTAAAATAAGGCCACAATCTTAATGCCACCCATACAAAACTGAAGCGTCGCCGTATTTAAAAGATTGCACCAAGACTGAATGCAATTTTCACATGCGGGAATGGACTTATAAGACTCGCTTTAGAACTCACCGCTGGAAGTAAGTTGGTCTGCGCGGGTCTCAACTGTAAAATTGTGGTCTCAAAGACCCTGTTACGTCTTAGGATAAGACCCACCGCTGGAGATGCTCTAAGCGCTTTTTCTGTCACGAATATTCTGCTGTCGAGGAATCGGTGCCCGGTTTTGCGCGACCGGTTGTATGACCACTTCAACAGCGCCACACCGCATAGTGTCTACTTGTCGATGAACTTTCATGAATATGAGGTCCTTGAGCAACCGATCATCCGTTGTGCAGCAAAGCCGAACACGCCTTAAGTCTTCGCCAGCTTGTGCCGCCTCACGGAAATCTTCAAGTAGGTCATTTACCCAGAAGACAAGCGAGGAAATCTCGGTGGCGCACCACGTGATCCTCATCAGCGTATCCTCGATGAATGTCGCGATGCTCTCGACGAGCTCCACTAATTCATTGCAGCAGAACTCGCGCGCATAAGTGAAAATACTCTCACCACGTCCCTGACTTGCTCAGTGCATGTTGCGGGTGGCGCCGCCGCAAATTCCGCCGATGCAGACAAATTATCGAAATAAGATCCACCGGGTTCTTGCCACGCCATTCTCTCCTCTTGAGACAGCCGAGCAAAATGGCGGATGGAAAGACCACTCGATCCAAAATGTCTATCCTAGAGCCGCGTGCAGACACCAGGTACAGCCTTGAACTTCACGAGCTCGGACCGAACCGCGATTTGCAATACGGAGTAGGTAGCTTACGTTTGGGTTTCGCCGACGTCACTCGGTCGTGAACGCGCTGTTGATCTTCTCGTGGCGCAAATGCATACTTTGACGCCAGCGCCGCTCTTTTTGACGAAATCTGTCGATCCCCTTCTCTTGGCCTCGTATCATGCTGCTCAGCCCTGTCGACCGCGCCGCTGCCCGGCAATGCTGCCTGCCGGACCTGCAAAAACCGATCTAGTAGCACGGGATCTTAGCTCAGTTTTTCGATGATCATGGCGTCCTGGTCCAATGCTGTTCGCCGCCGCTTTTCGTCTCGGTTCGGCAGCTGAGGGTTGTGCGTGGTGCTGCTGGTTACGACTCGGGAACGCTTCCCAGTTGCTGATTGGACGTTGTCTTCACCCGTGGCAGGGCCCCCACACACTTGCTGGTCTAACCCGTCTTCATCGTCGTCCACCAAGAGGTCAAACAAGAGCTCTACTTGTTCTCGCTCGCTGACGTGAACCTCTTGCTCAACTTGCTCGGGCTGCTGCTGCTGCCTCGGTGGCCGACAGAACGGCGGTCCAATGCTCGCAGGCACTAAGTCTCTGCGCCCGTCCACGTAGTAGGCGAAGTCAAGTGCATGTTGCGGTGGGAACTGGACCTCGTCATCAGTTCCTGGATCAATCCAACCGCACATTTGCGTCGGCGTAGGATAGCACTCTTCGGCCATCAGCCCTTCCAAGACCACAGTCAGGGACTTGGAGCCTGCATGGCCATTCCGGCCCAGGGCGCGGTCTAAAATTGCAGTTTCAACGTCCTGAATGCCACCTGCTGTCCACTCTTCGAGATGACATTGAACCTGCTGGAGCAGGAACGCCACGATTGGGGGCACTAGTGACATGAAATCCATCGCGGCCATTATCTCGTCCCCCGCACAAATAATAGTCAGCTGATTCCCTCCCACCGCCATGATCTGGCCAAAATGAACTTGCTCTGCGACTTGAGCTGACACTGGGCGCCTTAGAAACGATAATTGCCCTGCCTCGGAGACTTCGTTAGCCGTCACCACGAACTCAGCGGCCGCTGAACGCGGCAGGTATCCCTCTCCCCCTTCGAGACTTCGAAACGTCACCGCGCCGTGGTCGATACTCATGACCTTCGCATAGAACGGATGGCTGAAGTCACCTTCGACGGCTTCAGGGACCAAGTGGAGGAAGGACGGCGACGGTAAGCGCACCATGATCCGGAACGCTGGAAGCTGGAAACGCCGGCACGAGGGCTTAAGCGCTAGCGAGAGAGAAGAGCTAAAACTAACTAATGACTCCTCGTGCGGCCTCGTGCGTTGGTTTCATCTTGTACTTCCTCTTCCAAAAAGCTATTTTCGCTTTCTTCTCGAAAATCTCCAATCTGTACCCCAACATGACGACATCTTAGTATGCCGTTCAAATGCAGATCTCTTACATTAATGTAAAGCTCGAAGATAATAGGCTTAACATGAAGTATATTTTATTGCAAAATGAAATTTTCGCACCATAGACAAGATGGGCATGTGTACCCGCATCTTCGGGCGGATCGATAGTTCGGATATCAACGGATTCGTGTGTACTGACGTGTCCGGGTACCCGGACTTCAGACAACGTCCACATTTGTGGATTCGGGTACCCGGGGCCATCGGTTTGGCGGTCCGGGTAAGCCGGTGCATACTGTTTGTGAGCTCTGCGTCATACCTTACGATACACTTGCTACAGACCTGGTCGAAAGGATGGTACACTCCATAACCTTCCATCTAACTCTGCTAATCCTGCGAGTTTTGTTTTTTTACTTGAACCAACTGAAGCGTTTTCCGCGTTGATTCTGCGATTCAAATCGAATCCGGCCATTATTGAGAGACTTTTTATACAACGGTTGCTCTGCGTGTTTGGCAAAAAGGGTAGCACACTATTCTTTTGGGAAAATTCCAAAGCGCGACTCGATTTGAAAATCTTCCCAGAACGTGGCTCGCTACGGGGCCGGGTCAGCACTACCACGTGCAAGCTCTGCGCCACCTACACAACGGTGCAGCGCCTTCTCGCCACGAACGCGTCCGGTACGGTCAGCACCACCACAAACGCGTTCAGCGCCACCATAAGCGCGCGCAACGCCATATCCGCCACGATGGCATCCAACTCCGCCATCACCACAGACACAAGCGCAACACCTTCTCCACCCTGGGCACGTCCAGAGCAACCACCTCCGTGAGTGCACCCGGCGCCTTCTCCACCACGAATCCATCCGGTCCCGCCATCGTCACGAGCGCCTGCAGCACCTTCTCCGCCATGGGCGTCCTGAGCCCCACCACGAACGCGTCCAGCACCATCTCCTCCGCCACGACCGAGTCCAGCAGCATCATCACCACAACAGGTAAATGCAGCACCAGCACCCCCACGAAAGCGTCCGGAGGCTTCTCCAGCATGAACGCGCCCAACACCGTCTCCACTAACACACCCACGCAGCGCCGTCTGCACCATGGGCGGGGGCAGCACCGTCCGTAGATTATATTAAACTTTTTCACACTGGCCTAAAACTAGCACATGATAACAAACTGCATTTGAATTGGTTGCTCACTTCAAGCTCTATTTAGATACCAGACGTGACGACGAAGCGAGGCCGAAACGCACACCTATTTACACAACAACAATTCTACAGCCACTGCGCTATAACCAACTTTGCTGTCACCACGCAACAACCAGCTTCGCTTTACAAGTGTCATGGAGGCCGGAAAGGTTGATTTGATGGAAACGTTCGGTCGGCAAGACGTCAATCGGCACGATGGTTTTGCTACTGCTCCAGATAGCACAGAGTTTCTGCGTGGCTACGCGTTCAACGAGAACAAGTCGATCAAAAAGGAGATACATCCCGGTCACGTATGGAAATGGCAATGCGTTTCTGAGTTATGAGACTGGCAGGTGACGCTAAAGAAGAAGCGGCCCACTAAACGCGCTAACACATGGCGCCTGGTTTGTTAGCGATTTGGAGCTTGTCCATTCTCCCAGCTGTGATGCGGTGCGGGAGGGCTAATCAAAGTATCTGATGGAGCTACCTGGATTGAAAAGTGGTGACGGGGCTAAGCATAGCACGCGCGCGAGTGGCCTCCTCGATGAAAACAACGGACAATGTTAACGTCGATCACCTCCCTGCGCTAGTGTATGGTGCAATATTCCGCGCCAAAAAATGATGGAGGAGGCGGAGGACAACTACGACAAGCTTCCGTCTTTTCTTCGGTCGTTCGCGCGCGAAAATCCCGGATCTACCGTATCATGTCAGCTGGATAATCGCGGTCACTTTTTAGGCCATTCCTGTCATTTAGTTCCCTCATTGCTGGGCAAGACAACTGAGTGCCACTGCTTGAATGTGACGGCACCCACATGGAGAACGCTCAAGACAATGGCGTGTGCCTTTCGGGCATCGGCTAGGGCGGAGACTCGGGGGAACATTCCTGTAGCCGTTGCTTTCGTTCATAAGGAGACAACCGAGAACTTTGAGTAGTTTTTCGCGAGCTGTGTCGTCGCCGGAATAAAACTGCACGGCCGACCTCTCTTTTCCGACCGTGGTAAGCAGCGAGATGCGCAAGTTCGTCTCCGTGTGCGCTGTGTGCCCTTGCACCTTAAGTTTTGTGCACTTCACATCATTTTAACGTCTGCGGCCACTTTCGTTCTATCGATCCAAATATCGCCAACATTAGAAGCCTGGTCATATCGTTGCAAGCCCCGACTACGTTTGTGGAGTACGATGCGGTGCTCACTGAGATCAACGAGCGCTTTCCTGTGGTGCACACTATCACAGTAAATGGGAAAAAAAGAAACTCAATCTGTCGCTCAGTACTTGCGACAGATTCACCCTGTAAGCTGGCCCAAGTTTGGTAATGATAAGCTCACCCCGGACGAAACCTCGGTGGTGCGAGCTGAATGGGGGTCTGTAGAAGCCTTGGGGGATGGATGTCCTCTTTTTGGAGGTAGAGCTACAAGTGCTGTAGAGAGCCAAAACCGGGCTCTGCTACTTGCCGGCGTTCGAGGCAGCCAATTGTTCGGTGCTATGGTGTTGTTTGGCAACGTTGTCGTGAAGACAATATCGGCCAAAACACAGAAAGCTCGGTGCTGGATGGGTGCAAAACACACGGTGACTCCACGCGCGAAGGCAAAGTTTGACAAACAGATACGGAGTGCTTCGGCTTGCACCGTGCTTAAAATCCCGGAGTCCATCTTCCACGTCAAAGACGAAGTAGCAAGCGTCGAAGATGAAGATGCACTGCTGGACAATGGCCCACGAACCCTTTACGGTAGACAGACGGGTGCGTGTACACGATATCCGGATCGTCATCGATTGCAAATGCCTTGTCGACACATCGTGGCAGTTCCCCATGTCCAAAGTGGATCTTCCAGGACAACCGCGGGGGCCTACAGGTATTTTCACCATGCGTACACAGCAGCGTCGTACGCTCAAGCATTTCAACACATTTCTATCCACCTGCCGTTCGTCCCTGCACTCATGCCAGACCCGAATATCCAACCCCCATCACTTTAAAAACAAACAGGGGATTCATCACGAGCTGCAAGACGCGGTGTGGCCGCACGAGAAAAGAAAATATGCAGCACAGGCCAGCAGAATGCCTCTCGACCACAGCGGCATCCGAAGAAGAAAGCAACGATATCCAGTGAGCGGGCTGCAGTTCTCTCAGCATGCACGACCTTTTCAGCAGCGAGACCCGAGCTGAGCAGCCAAAGAAACGAAATAACTACAACTGTAGTCTCTGTGGCAGGGCCGAGCGACACAACACTGCAAAATGTCCGAATCGCACGAAGAGGACTGTGGACGATGACGTTCGAGCAGGCATTTACATAGTTGGGTCGTGTCCTCTTGAATTGCTGGGACGCCGGAATTTGGTCAACACCACGAAACTACAAAATTCAAACCCGACGATCCTGAGTGAGTACACATTCTGATCACACTGCTGCTACTAATGACGCAGTGCTCTGATCACGTACATGCAATCGAAAATTAGCTGAAGACCGACATTGCAATCAAAACGTACACTTACGTTGAAGGTGAGGTCGAGTACAGCGATCTCAGTGTCTGCAGCACGAACATTCACAACAGCACAGCAGGTCCTACATTGATACAGATACAGACAGTTCATAGTTAAGCCTCATGATGGGAGTAAATGGGAGCACTAGCAAGCTGAAGCAAACCCACCTCGCTGTAGATGACGACGGACATCTGCGCTTGGGGCCTTCACTCAATAATCAAGTTGTGAAATGCTGCTCGGTATCGCATTGTTTTTTTTCTGTCCCAGATTTCCATCTGCCAGTTTTGGGTCAGTATGAAAATGTTTGATGTATTTGTGGCAACTTACAATAACCCACCGCGCGCCGTCACCATCGCCAATACGGCCAGCTTCTCAAGCGCGTCACCATGCGGGTGCGCTGCATCACCTTCTCCATCGGGAGCGACGTGTAGAGGCTTCACCAGCAAGAGGACCTGTGGGCTTCTTGTCAATCTTTCACATATTGTGCCTTTCGGTCATTTTGCCGAGTCCTACGTAGGACTTTGGAGGTCAGTTAATCTGAGGTTGGTGATCTCTAAATCTGAGATGCAAATCTCGGACGAGTCCGATGAGTGGTCTCCTCAGTTCAATGGACTCCGGTTGGAATCCAAGTCAAGCAATCTTTGTTTGGGGAAGCAAGCAATACCGGAACCCGCGAAAGCGAATGACGAAGACTGGAGTGTTTAACGTATCGACTGCATCGTGTTTTCATAGGTTTATTCTGCGTTTGACATACACCGTATTAGAGTCAGCTCGTATGAAAGTCTTGCCACAAAACTTGGCAGGAGTCCTTCGTAAGACCACAAACCCCGAATGCCGTGAAAATGGGCGACATTCGGGCTTTCGGCTATTTGCAGGACCTGCGCAAGTGCTTCCATCGGACTAGCAATTCTTGGTCCTAATTCCCTACAAGGGACCTGCTAATTTGCTCCGATAACCTAGCCCCATCTTGGTAGGTAGCTGTTTTACACGTCCGATTTGCCAAAACAACTGAAAAGCACAATATGAGCCGCGTACGCTAATCTTTAGTCTAAATCGGAGGTGTGTACCGTGAAGATTTTCAAATCGAGTCACATTTTGGAAATTTCCGCTTTTATTATGATGGCTACATGTAACGTACTCGCCCGAATATAAGCCCCTCCCGAATAGAAGCCTAAATACCGGTACATATCGGTTCGTCCATACAAACTTGAAGACTAAAGTTTTGTTGCTGATAAAATGGCTGAGAATCTCAAGCTTCTGGGCATGCACTAAATAAAGTCCGGACTTTAATAGGGCGAGAACGTTATGTACACAACTTGAACATAATTTGCAGAGTGTTACCAAGTACTTCTCTGGCCCACATAACAAACAACACTTCGGCTTTCTGGACATAACTTTTTACAAAAATATCGTTTGGTGACTCGCAATTCCTCAACCGAAAGCTGCGCATTTGCTCCGTTTCACGCTATGATTTAAAAAAATCTAGCAGCAGAAAGAAAAGAGAAACAGTCTTTTATCTGAAGTCCGTTTTAGGCAACATTAGGTTTTTTAGCGAGGTGCCGTCAAAAATTAGCGATATTAGAAAAAAAAATATCACCGTAATCGCGAGTGACTGCTTTACCCTTATGTTTGGTTGTCGATGTTGTAGCGCCTGTTGGAGACGAGTTAGAAGGGCTACAGTTTTGAGGTTTTTCTACGCGATTATCTCGACATGCGCAGACCCATTTATTTTGGCCAATAGTAAGATGAAACAGTTGATTATACCCAATCATATGTGACATGTGGTTCACATCAAATTGAGGTTTAATGCCGAATGTTGTTTCTTAAGTGCCAGAGAAGTAAATAATAGCGTGCCAACCTTTTGGTCAATCACGCAGAGCAATCATTGTACTGTATAGAAAGTCTATCTGGATTACGCTCCGATTTGATTGGCAGAATCAGCGAGATAACGCTTCAATTGGTCCAAGTTTGAGAAAACTTGCAGAGTTAGGTGGAAAATTAGGGTGTGTGCCAACCTTTTGGCCAGGTCTGTATCTCGGTATAAATACCCGAGTCGTCCACTGTTGCATTGCACCTCTGAGTGCATGTATTCTAATACATATAAAATGTGCTCCATTTATTACTAGGGCTCCGCGAAGGCTGGGATAGGAGATTTTTGGTATAATCGCTTTCTATTATTATGAGGTTTTTTTACGAACCACGGGCATCTCCTGCGCCTGCTTCGCAGCCGCAGCGTCTGCCCGGTAATTCACCTCAAAACTGTAGATAGTGCTTATACACAGTGATAAAACGAACCTTGCTCGAGATCTGTTTGTAGCTTGTAGAAAAGGAAAATGTTTACCTTTGTATGCTTCTGCAGCAGTTCGTCCGCTTCAATCATTCACTTTACTTCACTCCTACTATTCGATATATGTTACTGACTCATACCGGTTCAATCTGCCCACGCATATAAACCTTCCCAGTGCGGCGCAAGGGGGTCACACCGGTTTCAGGACAATGTGTCAAGAGGGGTCACCTTTTGGCTTGACGTACCACGGATATAATCCTGTTTGGTCTGCGATAGCAGCACTAACGTTGCTTCCTATCCCAGTATAAAATAAATATCTGGTTTTCGGTTTGGGAAAATGGGACCTCCGGTGGGTTCCTCTGAAAATGAAATAAATTTCATTTTTTGAGAGCTTGCCTCATGTTTTGCGATGGTCTTCATTTCACGGTTACTGAGTACTCGCCGTCAAAAAGAAGTGTCGGGTATGCCTCCCAGAGCTGCTGTCACTGCTGCGGCACCGTTGGTGCCTCGATACAGCCCCGGTGGGGGGGTCACTTTGCCTGCCTGGCAGAAATCGTTTGGCAGTAGTGCAACCGTAACACGTGGTCCTGCTGAAGTTGAGTAGGCATGCGAATTCCGGGAACCGCCGGTATCCATACATGTACAACACGACAATAAATGTATTATAATAATACATGTATTATATTACGTTTATACAAAGCTATACGCATAAATGACGAAGAAGAAAATCCATCCACTATGATCCTAGCGCTGGGATCAATACATGAACTGTAGCGTCAGGATCAAATTGCATCGCCAAGACAGCGATTCAGTTTTCGCGTTCTCTGATGGCAGGCTACAGAGGCTCTCCAAGTGCTCGCATCCCTGCGAATGCGGCGTCGCGGCGCGAACCGACAGCAGCAAATCTCCGAACCATCGCCCAACATGAAGTGAGTGCCAACGCGAAAGAACAGAGACCCGACTTCCCCGCCGCTCACCGCAAACTTCCCAGCCCAAACCTTCTTCTTCGCCCCTCTGGGCCAGGGTCTGGCTTCTACAAAGCGTGGCGCGGGGTTCCTCCACATGAGCTGAGTGTCTCCACCATCCAGACGGGCCGGGGATCAGCTGGCACACCACATTTCACTTTTGCACTTGCCGCCTACTGCGCACTCTGTGCACAGTACAGCTTCGGTTCTGACGGTAGCTTTGACCAAGTCCCTATACCATGAAGGTGCTGGTGCTACTGCAAACTGCAGTCGTCGCAGTCGCTGCACGTCGCGCCGCCGCGTCGGCCAGCGACCCCGACGTCGGTGAAGGCTACAACTTCCTCCAGGACACCGTCAAGGGTGCTACCGACAAACTGGTTGGAACGCTTAGCCCCAACGCCCCCGATACCTCCTCGAACACCGGTCAAGACGCGGCAAGCGGAGGGTTTTTCGTGCCGTTTGGAACTGACGAACCGTCCGAGGAGCTCTTCAAACGCAACAGCAGTCTGGAGAAAATCGTCCCGATCATCAACGTCGCTGAAGAAGCTCGCAACCAGCCCATTCCGACTAACAAGTGGTGGGCCAATATCATTCACGTAACCGACCTCAAGAATGTGACCAACTACGCTGCGTGGTCTAACCCGTACGCAGTGAAGCTGCCTCGAACGGCCCCTTACGGAGTACAGGCCTGCTACTCGTACACTTACCGCCAAATCGCCCCCGAGGTCAAGGGCATGGTCAAGGAGTACAACCACTCGTACCACAACGACCTGACGCTGTCGTCGCACGAGTTCTTTTCGTACGAGCCCAAGTACGAAGTATACGAATGGGACGAAGGTGGCGCCAAACTGCGCACGTGTGACGAGGCCAGCGGCAAATGCATGGAGTCGGCTCTCGTGAGCGGCATGGCGTTCGTCTCCGCCACGTATGACGGACTCACCCCGCGCATCGACACGGAGCATAACATCGTCGACCTGGACGACTCGGCGCCGGGCAAGTTTGTCATTCACCTCAACAACAGCCAGACGTGGGTGCTGTACGCGAGCGACAAGAGCCTCAAGCTCCGTGTGGAGGACTCGGTGGTGTTCTCGATGAACGCGTCTGGATCGTCGCTCGTGGCGGACGCGGGCTACTCGGGCACGATCCGCGTGGCGCTGCTGCCTGACGACGCCGACGACACGGTGTACGACGAGTTTGCTTCGTGCATGGTGCGCGGTGGCAGCGTGTCGATGGAGTCGCGCACACGGTACTCGTTGCATTGGGACGTGGAGGGCAGCAGTTGCCAGACAGTGGGTCTGCTGCATTTCGCGCTGCCGCACCAGTTGGAGTCGATGAGCGGATCTCCGACGACGTCGAGCAGTGCTGGAGCCATTATGTTGCACTCGGCTACTCGCGGTGTGATGGTGGGTCAGGTGACGACTACGCCGACGTGGTCGTTTGTGGAGCCCGAGGCGGACTTCGAGGTGGACTTTTACCCGCCGCGTAAGCCGTCTGCGTGGATCATCAAGGAGACCGACATGCTGAAGACACTGCAGAAGGACATCATCGCCAACTGGTCCGACTGGGACGCCAAGAGCTGGTACTACAACGGCAAGTATTACCAGAAGTACGCCTCGTTGTGTCTGATGGCGGCAGACAGCACGATCGTTGGCTCGGACACGACGCTTCTGTCGTATTGTTTGGAGAAGCTGGAGGCTATGATCGAGCCGGTGCTGAACAACACGCTGTCACCGCCGCTCATGTACGACACGCTCTACAGCGGTTTGATTTCGAGCTCTATCTTCCAGACGGGCAGCATCTACACGGAGTTCGGCAACGGCATTTACAACGACCACCACTACCACTACGGCTACTTCGTGACGGCTTCTGCTATGCTGAAGCACCTGGACCCGAAGTGGTCGCGCATGCCGGAGCTGGAGAAAATCATCTGGACGATGCTGCGTGATGTGACGAACCCGAGCGCCGAAGACAAATATTTCCCTCGGTTCCGTCACTTTTCGTGGTATTTGGGCCACTCGTACTCCCACGGAGTGACCTCGATCGAGAACGGCAAGGATGAGGAGAGTACGTCGGAGGATATCAACTTCTACTATGGCATGACGTTGTGGGGCAAGGTGACTGGGAACAAGGCGGTGGAGGATCTGGGAAGTCTGATGCTTCGTCTGGATGCCCACGCGATTCGGACGTACTTCTTGCTCAAGTCGGACAATACGATCCATCCACCTGAGATTGTCCGCAACCGCGTTACGGGCATTTTCTTTGACAATCGGGTCTGGTACAACACTTGGTTCCTAGACGAGGTGTACGCTATCCACGGGATTCAGATGATTCCGGTCTCCCCGATCAACGAGTTGGCTCGTACGTCGACTTTCGTGGCGCAGGAATGGAACGATATTCTGTCCAAGGAAGACATCATTCTCAAGGTCAACACTTCCATCACTTGGCTGTCCCTGCTTCTTGTGAACGCAGCGACTGTGAACCCAATGGAGTCGCTGCGCAACCTCAAGAACGCGACCATGGACGATGGTCTTTCTCGATCGTGGGCGCTGTACAACGCGGCTACTCGCTGTAGGGACGACGTGCACGTGAATGTGACTGCGGTGGCGGCCACCTCCGTCTCCTCCCTGGTCGTCAATGTTTGAAGAAGCACCTGAAGCTTTTGCAGGGACCAAAGGCATTCTGTGTATACCTGACATCAGAATACTTCGTGAAGCAAACTCACCGAGTAAAGCGCTGTAATACGATAAATGACGCTTCCCCCGGCTCATTTTAAGACCATGATCAACGCGGCACTCAAAATGGCGAAAATGGCGACATATCCCCTCGCTAAGTTACTCAATACCTGGCAGTACATTTAATGCTGTTCATGACCAAGAACTACAGTATCTCTTCGTGTACAGTAATACTTCAGGTGATAAACGACAGCTTTGTCGTAGGGTTGAATAGTCTTCGAGCCCACAAAATGCCCGATCCGATGAATAGTGCACTTTCCAGTGGAAAGCTTCCACACCGTGTGCAAGACCGTCGGTCTTTGACGACCCTACACACGGCGGCGGTCGCGAACAGGCCCAGTGAGAACTCGACTGCGTCCATTGTCTCCGATCGATAGACATCTACTCTTGCGTTATTGTAGTTGTCCTGAGACCCGTGAGCTTATGAGCTACCACTGAACATGTACTGTACATGGATACAATGCGGCAACCACGAGACTGGATGCTGTTCCGCCTCCAATCCAGTTGATAGCACGAAGGCATCAACTCGAAGTAAACATCAGGACAGAGACATGGAATCGTATGAGCGCGACAACTTTCGGTGCAAGGTGTGGGGTCGAAAGGCAGCGTGGCAATGGAAACAGGAGCTATTAGCCTATCCATCGCTCTCTGCATTGTACTAACGTTGGCAACACCGGTTAGTTTCGCGTTTGCCGCTTACTGCGCACGCCGGTGCGTAGTCCCCCACCATACAACGATGAAGACCTCGGGTTGGGTACGGCTTGTGTTGGCCATTGCAGTGGCAGCACGATACGCTGCGGCCTCTCAGAACAATCCCGACGTCGGAAGTGAATGGAACCGTCAAGTGGTATACGCACGGAGTCCACAACGATCTCACTTTATCAGCTCAAGAGTTCTTCAACTCGTCCAAACCAAACTACGAAGTCTACCATTGGGATGACATCGGTATCAAACTTCGGACATGTGATCACATAAACACGACGTGCATGGACTCCGCCCTCGTGAGCGGCATGGCGTTCGTCTCCGCCACGTATGACGGACTCACCCCGCGCATCGACACGGAGCATAACATCGTCGACCTGGACGACTCGGCGCCGGGCAAGTTTGTCATCCACCTCAACAACAGCCAGACGTGGGTGCTGTACGCGAGCGACAAGAGCCTCAAGCTCCGTGTGGAGGACTCGGTGGTGTTCTCGATGAACGCGTCTGGATCGTCGCTCGTGGCGGACGCGGGCTACTCGGGCACGATCCGCGTGGCGCTGCTGCCTGACGACGCCGACGACACGGTGTACGACGAGTTTGCTTCGTGCATGGTGCGCGGTGGCAGCGTGTCGATGGAGTCGCGCACACGGTACTCGTTGCATTAGGACGTGGAGGGCAGCAGTTGCCAGACAGTGGGTCTGCTGCATTTCGCGCTGCCGAACCAGTTGGAGTCGATGAGCGGATCTCCGACGACGTCGAGCAGTGCTGGAGCCATTATGTTGCACTCGGCTACTCGCGGTGTGATGGTGGGTCAGGTGACGACTACGCCGACGTGGTCGTTTGTGGAGCCCGAGGCGGACTTCGAGGTGGACTTTTACCCAGCACGAAAGCCAACGCAGTGGATTGTTAAGCAAACGGATATGCTTCGGACTCTCCGAAAGGATATCATGGCTAACTGGTCTTTGAACGCTAACAGTTGGTACTTCAACGGCCAGCTCATTCCGGAATCAACAGAGGATAATAAAGTCGACCTGCTCTGGCCAAGCAAGTGTGAACTCCTCATCTTGGTGGTCTCGGGGAGCAAATCCCGGACACCTTAGCGACACATCGGAGTGCTTTCAAGACGTGAGCTCGGGCACATCTGCAAACAAGAACAAGACTTCCTCTGCCTAAGTGCTACCACATCCACTCTTCCAGCTCACTACCAGTGAGTTGGAAAAGTGCGACAGCGTGGGAAATAGGGGTCCCCCAGGCTCGGGTTGGCCACGTCCCGCAGCATCGTCCAGATGATCCTCTCCAGCTCCGGCATGCGCGACCAGTTCGGGTCGAGGTGCTTCAGAATAGCGGACGCCGTCACGAAGTATCCAAAGTGGTAGTGGTGGTCGTTGTAAATTCCGCTCCCGAAGTCCATGTACAACCAGCCATGTTCGAAATCAAGTTGGAGACGATCCCGCTGTACAGCGTCTCGTATACTAGAGGCGGGGACAGGGTGTTATTCACACTCGGCTCGATCAAAGTCTCCAATTTCTCCAAACAGTATGCCAGCAACGTCGTGTCCGAGCCCACGACGGCGCTGTCCGCCGCCATCAGACACAACGAGGCGTACTTCTGATAGTACTTGCGCTCGTTCACTGTTCCCTACACTATCTCTGTTATTACATGCATTCCTAGATCCTCATGGGTTCACTTCGCTGGCTGGCTCCTCTTCTGGTTGCCCGTCGAGGGTATCGACCCTTCACTGAGCGCTCGAAACCGTCGTCGCCTTGACGCCACTGCAATATTTACAGTAGCTAGCCGCCAGCGCACAAATTTCATTCAGCTCGCGAGATTCCACGAGAATCACGTGACATTCCCTCCGCTAAGACGAGACCCGCCTCGATTTCTTGCGCTCATGGAAGCGATTGATCAGGTCGCCCACATACTTCAAGTTATCGAGAGGTTCCCATGTGCAGCGGGCTTGGCCAAGCCACTAAACCTTGTACATGGCCTTGCCACGGGTTCGCTTGAAACCCACAATGTCCTCCACTAACTCACCCTCAGTGTTATCTGGGAGCAGTACCTCGAAGGTTCGCTGCTCCCTGCCACCACTGGGTACATACGGCTTCAGGTAGCTCGTGTGGAAGACGGGGTGGAACTTCACTCCTTTCCGCAGCTTCAGCTCATAGTATTCGTGCCCCAGTCTATTGACAACTGCGTACGGGCCAATCCATCGCGCGCCTAGTTTCTCTTTTGTGGTCCCAGCATGATAGTTTGCCAGTTTTCGGTCGACAATAAAACCTCCTCCCCGACTTCAAAAGCTTGGACGGGTCGGTTGGCATCATAGTAATCGCTCATGCGATCTGCCGCCCGCTGGAGCTCACGCCGTACAGTTGCCAGCCGATCCGCTTGCGTCTCGAGGAACGTCTTCCCTAAAGCACAACGTTGTCGTTCGGCGCCGGTCGCGCGAGGTAGGCTGAACAGCGTAGCAGGAGTCGAAGGTAGATAGCCAAGATCGGCCTCGAAAGGTGCCATCGCTATTGCTTGCTGGAACCTTGAGTTATAGGCGAATTCTGCGAGAGCTAGATACGCATCCCAGTCGTCGGACGCTCCATTAGTAAATGCTCGCAGATAGTTTTCAATAGTCTGGTTTAAACACTCAGTCATCCCATTTGCCTAATGGCGAAAAGCCGTCGTCAACTTCTGTCGCGTACCCAACATGGCACACAACGTAGTCCACACCGTTGCCGTGAATTTTGGATCGCGGTCCGAAAGAATCTCGGTTGGAATACCGTGAAGAGCAAATATCCGGTCTCGGTAGAGCTCAGCAACATCACGAGCAGTAGCAGTGCCTTTACAAGCTACAAAATGAGCTCGTTTCGTTAGCTGGTCTATCAACACGAGTACAGAGTCACAGTTGGAGCGGGTCTTCGGAAGCGCGACAATGAAGTCCATCGCCACGTGAGTCCATCGCCCGCGCGGAATCGGTTGGCTTTGCAGAAGTCCCGGTGGCTTCGTGTTTCTTGCCTTCGTTCGCTGACAAACTTCACACGACTTGACATAAGCGCGTACACTGCGCACCATGTGCCGCCAATAATAATGCTACTCAACGAGACGAAGTGTCCGATCAACGCTAGGATACCCATGACACTCAACATCGTGAAATTCGAACAGTACTCCATTTATCAGCTCAGCAATAACAGGCAAAACCAGTCGTGGAGCTTCATCATTAGGCCCCGTGTACAGCAGTCTATCGCCGTCGAGCGAGTAGCGTGCGAGGTGTCGAATTCGCGGTGCATCTTCATTAGGCTTCCTTTGTAGCGGTTCAATAATCGGATGCACCGTCGGATCCTCCTTGTAGCGAGTAATCGCTTCGCGCACTACGGCCGAGAGACCCACGCACACACTCCCGTGAATTGCACTGGCAGCGACTATTTTCTCCAAAGGAACAGCCTCTGCAAAATCAGCACGGCGAGAAATGCCGTCCGCTATCGCATTAGTTGCTCCAGGTATATACTTGAACGTAGCTGGGTATTCACTCAGTTCGTCGTACCAGCGCGCTATACGCCGCGAAATACTTTTCTGGGCAAAGACACTCTCGAGGGACTTGTGGTCAGTTTTCACAATAAAGGGTTTGTCGAGCAAATAAACTCTCCACACTCGAAGTCCGAACAAGATAGCCAATAACTCCTTCTCCCTGATGGAATAGTTTTTTTCAGCCCCCTTGTACTTACGACCATTAAATGCTACGGGTCGCTCCACTAGCACGCCATCATGCTCCTCCAATTGAAACAGAACACCTCCAATCGCATAATCACTCGCATCCATCCTCAGATAGAAAGGCTTAGTGAAATCAGCCACAGCCAGCACGGGCGTCGCCGAAATTCGCTGCTTCAGCTGCTCAAAATGCTGCACTTGGTCTGTCGTCCACTGCAATTGCACCTTGCTCTTAGAGCTGGCTTTATTCTTCAGTATCTCGAAAAGAGGGCCCGCATCGTGAGCAAATCCGTCACAAAATCGCTGAACGTAGGTTGCTGTGCCGAGAAATGACTGCAACTCGCTTACAGTTGTGGGGCGAGGCCATTCACGGATGACTTGTACCTTTTTCGGGTCAATTCTTACTCCTTCACGGCCGATATAGTCGCCCAAGTGCGGAATCTCAGCAGAGCAGAACACACACTTGCTCAATTTGACGTAGAATTGGTTTTCCTCCAGACGAGTCAGTATTCGGTCGAGAGCAGCAAGATGGTCATCCAGATTACGACTTCGCGTAAAGACGTAAATATCATCGAAGTACGAGAGACAGAAGTCCACAAGTTCCTTCAGCAACTTGCGAATTCCTTCATTGAAAGTCGCAGGTGCATTGGATAATCCCATAGGTACAACCAGGTATTCAAAGGAGCCGTCCGCTGTTTGGAAAGCAGTGTATTTGACATCTGAGTCCCGCATCCGAAACTGGTAGTATCCACTGAGCAGATCCATACAGCTGAATCAGAATGCACCTTGCATTTTCTCGAAAATAACATCTTTGCGTGGCATCGGCAATGTCCTCCTAACCGTGTGATTGTTCATTGCCCTGTAGTCGTGGACTATGCGCCAACCCACGGGCTTTTTCACATGAAAAGTAGGAGCACCGTGGGGCGAGGAAGAAGAACGAATCAACCCAGCTCGCAACATCTCCTCCACCCATGCACGTATTTCTTGTTCTTGCTTAGGAGACTGCCGCCACTGTTGACGAAAAATAGGCTGATTAGTATCCACCTCCATCTTGTGTACTCCATGCGACTCCGGCGGTAATTGCTGCGGCAACTTCTTTTTAAACATGGGTCGATGTCGATCCAACACAGGATAAACCGGTAGTCCCTCGAAGTCGTCCACTTCTGTGAGTGCTTTTTCGCCTTCTGTTTGCTCTTTCTCGGTCACAGGTCTCAACACAAACACACAATCAAGCTTTCGCAAAAGTCTCTTGAATTGCTTGCTCGTTATAAATTTCGTTTCACCACTTGTCACCGAGTAGAACCCCTGCTGAAAGTATTTACCGCACGAGTTCTTCGTATTTCCCGAAACCGAGAAGCACTGGCCTCCAACTTGCAGTGCTGGTTGAGACGGCTTCGTCGTGGTTCGAGGCTTCATTTTCTTCATCTTCGTCTGCTTCTTTTTTATTTTCTCCGGCGACGGTACTTGCCGAGGTTTGATTGCTTCCTCGATCCAGTCGATGTCTGGGTTCACAGCCTTTAGCCATGGCATCCCAAGCAGGATATCTTGGTTTTCCGGTACAGAAAGCACGAGAAATTCACCGTCGTAAGGATCGAAAGAGTCGATAAACAAATGCAGTCGTAGTGTTCGCTTGCGAACTAGCATTTCTTGCTTATTCGCAAGTGTTATCGGTATCTCAACTCCGTGATCTTCGATCCGGTCTTCCAATTGAGAACGCTGACAAAATTCAGGGCTGACAGCATTGATCGTAGCCCCGCTATCGATAAAATTCGAGTTGGTCAGGAATAAATCATGACGGGTGCATTGAACAGTACTGTTCGTATGCAAAAGACAACAATATTCACGAGGCAAGGCAAAAGAATCCTCAGAGTTGGTGGTTGAACTCTTCTTGTCTTCGAACTCCATAGTCTGCACTCCATTCGTCACGCTAGCAAACAAAGTCAAATCATTTTTCTTGGTTTTTCCTGGTTGCGGAGCCTCTCCATCATTTTTCTGGTCACAAATTGTTTTTTCATCATGCATCAGGCGTTGCGTTGATGCTGCGCTGTCTTCGCCGACTTCACAGCTATCGCGTTCACCCTTTAGTCTGCTGAGCTTGCGGGTATCTCCACTCAATCGCTCAACATTGAGTGGACTTACTCGTTTCCCTCATCCGCATGGTCTTCGGCGACCGTCATCCGCGCAAACATGGTGTTGACTTTCTTGTTCGCTTGGCTGGGGCGCTTTTCAGGATGTTTAAACCAGCAGTCTTCGGCTCGATGCGGTCCACGGCCGCAAAAGCTGCAGTTGTTAGCCGATCTTGCGTTGTTGTTGCCCTTGGCGGCCTCCATTCCCTGACTTGCGAGCTGTTGGAGGCTGATTACTCGGCTGTTGATGCATCGTAGCGCTAGAACCTCCGCCCTTGCTCTTCGACCTGGTTTCGGTCAATCGATTATTTCCTGGAGGTTTTTCCCTGATCTCCCACTCGAGAAATCCGATTTGGATCGCGTCATTCAAGTCGCGTGGCTGTCTCCGCTGAATTTCACGTTTCATCTGCATGTCCGACAGTCCATTCACGAACAGATTCATTGCGGTGAGTTGGTCGACGCGAACAATGCGATGCAGCTCCCGAAACTTGCCTACGTAGCCAGAGTATCCACCAGTCTGCCTAATTGTTAGCAGTCGGCTCCATAAACTCCATCATCAGCTCAAGCTTAATCGCACTCCACAGCTTGGCCGTGGTTACGTCGGTCATGTACCGCTCGTACCACACGAGGGCAGCTTTTGCACACACTGGTGGCAAGTCGAGCATCATGCGCCAACAAATCCAACCCCTTTTGGGTGAAATAGGACTCAAACTGGAAAATAAAGCTGTTCAACTTGACTCCATCGATATCTCCAACGAAAACCGGTGGTTTGATATCCATTTTCCTTAAATGCAACTCGCCAGCCGAGCTCGCATCACTTCGAGCTGCTGCTGTCGCCATGCTATTCGCTCCACCGCCACTGGCATCACCATGCCCCATAGCCGGGACGATCCAGATGACCACGAGCGTGCTGCTGCCGGTGCTTGGTTCGGCGTCGGTGTCCGTGCTGACGATACTGGCGCTGGCGTATTTGCTGCTTGTGCCTTTCGGCGTGCATCCTCAGCCACTTGCTGCACTCGGTTGAGTCCTTCGGCGAGCTGGCTCATCGTCTGCACCAAGCCCGCCACCGTCTGGTCCAGCGCAGCCATGTCCGTGCTGATCCCGGTGCTCAAATTGCTGATAGTCGCATTAATGTTGCTGCCGAAGGCGCGAATATCGTCGTGGGTCTCGTCCAGCCGTGCCTCCAGGCGGTCGATCCTCACGTGCTCAGCGCTGCGGAGATGCCCGTCTAGCTGCTGGCGATCCGGCGCAGTGTCGCTCCGCAACACTCTGCGTGCCGTATTTCGTCCTTGCATCTTCCAAGCTCTACTATGTCGCACTTTTCCAACTCACTGGTAGTGAGCTGGAAGAGTGGATGTGGTAGCACTTAGGCAGAGGAAGTCTTGTTCTTGTTTGCAGATGTGCCCGAGCTCACGTCTTGAAAGCACTCCGATGTGTCGCTAAGGTGTCCGGGATTTGCTCCCCGAGACCACCAAGATGAGGAGTTCACACTTGCTTGGCCAGAGCAGGTCGACTTTATTATCCTCTGTTGATTCCGGAATGAGCTGGGCGCTCGTTCACTGTTCCCTACACTAACTCTGTTATTACATGCATTCCTAGATCCTCATGGGTTCACTTCGCTGGCTCTGGTACCATGGCCACTCGTACTCGCGTGGCGTAACTCTGCTGGATAATGGCAAGGACGAGGAGAGCACCTCGGAAGATGTTAATTTCTACTATGGCATGACAATGTGGGGTAAAGCGTCAGGAAATAAGGCGGTGGAGGATTTGGGGAGCCTAATGCTTCGCCTGAACGTTCCTTCTCAAGTCGGACAACACGGTGCAACCTCCCGCTATTGTACGAAACCACGTGACGGGCATCTTCTTCGACAACAAGGTCTATTACAACGCGTGGTTCCTCGACGAGAAGTACGCGATCCACGGCATCCAGATGATTCCGGTGTCCCCGATCAACGAGCTTGCTCGCACGTCGACTTTTGTGGCGCAGGAATGGAACGACATCTTGTCGAAAGAGCAGATTGTGACGATGAAGTTCAGCAACAACTCGTGGCTGTCGCTGCTGCTCGTGAACGCGGCCACGGTGAATCCGATGGACTCGCTGCACAAGCTCAAGAATGCCACCATGGACGACGGACTGTCGCGCTCGTGGGCGCTGTACAACGCTGCCACTCGCTGCAGGGACGACGTGTCCGTCAGGGGGTCGGTCTCCGAGCTACAGGTCGCGGTGGATCTGTAGTGCGGTGCGGCGATCTATGGTACAACTTCATCTGTTGGTAGTTGAAGTATGCAGAATGAAGGTCATGTTGAAGAGGCGCGGCACCACCACCACGAGATTAATCTTCAGCATTAGACGCTCGCGGCGATTGCCACCGCGACAGCATTGGCCAGCAGCAGCGGCAGCCGTATCCGATACCATTGCTGGCTGGTTGTCTTACGCCAGGGTGCGGCAGAGCATCTTGCCCAGCAAAGATCTACTTTGAATCGGTGTACGAGTTGTGTGGCACGCTGTAAATCGGCGATTCGCAAGGGTACTTTTTACAACTCGTAAAAATTCAGTAAAAACTGAATTTTTCCAAATCACTTTTCGAATCGTTCCAAATCAGTGTTCTAAAAGTTGACTTGGGTTCTGTATCGTCGTGAAAATGAACAATCTCGGATGGTCCGAGGGTGGGGTGCTGCAGTAAATTGCTACAGGCCACGTTCAGACCATTCGAAGCGATGCAGAGGGTTTTTGGCGTTCGCTGAGACCAGCCTCGCCATTACCGCGACAGCCGGGCTGGCATCCGATTTTCTATCGACAGCCGGCTCAAACTCTTTGGAGCGAAGTTTGTCGACTTCGTTGCGCCGGCACAAACTATTGCTTACTCCTCTGGAGTCTCTTCTTTACGATGAGAGATTCGAGCAAAGAGTGACGCGCTGCGAGTCGGTGCGTCTGGCCGCCTCGTATTTTGTGAAGGTTGGGTTTGCCTCAAACTTTGAGGACCCCACTCCCCCACCAAGAGGCGAGCTTATCGGAATCGACGCTCTCTGGCGCGAGCGCCACGCCGTATCATTAGTACTAATTAGCATTGGGTTGGCGGTCGTGAACAGCAAGGACTAGTTGCTGCCAACAATTCCAAAAAAATAAAATATTTAGTCATTTTTTCCGTTGATGTTGTTGTTGGTGGTGGTGGCGGCGGTGTTGCTCCTGTGCTGGTCTTTTGGCGCTAGTATTAATATAGCAGTAATGTAGTTCCATGCCACAGTACTCGCTCGGTGTTCCTCGCAGAGTGTTTCACAACCGCATCACAAAAATCCTCGAGCATCTCAGCTGATCTAAAATGGTCGGTCCTAAAGGTTGTGCAAACGCCGTAAAAACTACCCACCGGCTCGTCCACCACTTGCCCCACATCTGCATTTTCTTGTGCAAAAATCGGCTCTCCCCTCGAGCCCCCACCGACCGCCAGAGCCAAAGACCGACCGGAGCCCAGCGCCCCACTCGATGCTTTGCGCCGTCCAGAGCTCTATCCAGGCAGAAAAAGCAGTTGAGGCAGACGCGGCCCGGGCGGTCGTCGTGTAGGCAGGAGAGAACAGGTAGGGCACGATGGCGCCGATCCCGGACGTAGCAGTGCAGCGCAGCGGCGGCAGCAGCAGCGAGAGCCCCAAGACGGCGCTGGACCACAAGAAGTGGGGCAGTGTCAAGACCTGGACGTTCGCGCAGTTGCTGGCCAGCTCCTTCGCCAAGGCGTCGCTGGAGGACGCCATGCGCACCGGCAGCAGCTCGCCCTCGTCCGCCGGCGAGAGTAGCGGCAAGAAGGCGGGCAACAACGACTGGGACTGCTCCTACAGCTGCCTCAAGGCGGCGACCCCGTCCTCTTCGAGTGCGCCGACCAGCGGCAACAATGACTGGGACTGCTCCTACAGCAGTTTGAAGCCGGTTGCCTCGCGGCCGACCATCTCGGCGTCGTCGTCCTCGAGCACGCTGCTGTCGGATGCGGACATGACGCACTTGCAGCACTCGATCGAGGAGATGCTCGAGCACGAGGAGACGGTTCAGGAAGAGTCGGAGGAGTCGGAGGAGGACAACGACGACGACATCCGCGACCCAACGCGCTACGTGTTCGACATCGTCCGCATCATCGGCTCCGGGTCCTACGGCACGGTCTTGCTGTGTCGCTTGCGCGCCTGCCCCAACCGCCTGTTTGCGGTCAAGGTCGTGTACAAGTCCAAGCTCAGCAGCATCAACGGTCTCGATGGAGACAGGAACGCCACGCGCGAGGCAAGGCGTCTTCTGACAGAGAAGAAGGTGCTGTGCTCGGTGGACCACCCTTTCATCACCAAGATGTACTGCTCCTTCGAGACCCCCGACGCGCTCAACTTCGTGCTCGAGTACTGTCCTGGTGGCGACATGTACTTCTTGCTCGAGAAGTTCGCCAAGAATCGCCTCCCTGAAGACCACGTGTTGTTCTACGCGGCGTCGATCGCGCTGGCGCTGCGCTACCTCCACGACCGTGGCATCCTGTACCGCGACCTAAAGCCCGAGAACATCTTGCTGGACGAAGCAGGCTTCTTGCGGTTGGCGGACTTCGGCTTCGCGCGCGAGCAGATGCAACGATCGGAGCAGAGCTGCACCAGCTTCTGCGGGTCGGCGGACTACATTGCCCCCGAGGTGGTGCGCGGCCAAGGTTACGGTCTTGCCGCTGACCTGTGGAGCTTTGGCTGCGTGGTGTACGAGCTGCTGACGGGATACCCGCCGTTCTACTCTCCGCGCGATCGTGCCACGCTGTTCCGCAAGATTGAGGAGGAAGAGCCGAACTTCCCGGGCCACTTCTCCCCTGACCTCTGTGACTTTCTGTCGGGTTTGTTCCGCAAGGACGCCGATAAGCGTCTTGGCAATGGCCCCAATGGGATGCAAGAAATCTTCGACCACCCGTTCTTCGCCAATATAAGCTGGCACCGTCTCGAGACGAAGCAAGTGGCTCCACCGATCGTCCCGAAGCTGTCCAGCGAGCTTGACACCTCCAACTTCGAAGAGCAGTTCACATCCCAGCAAGTCGAGGGCCATCTCGTGTACGAAGAGCGGGAACCGCAGGGCGCTCTGTCAGACGAAGATGAAAACCACTTCTACTTCGGCGACTTTGACTGGTGCGCTGACGCTTCTCACTTCCAATAAGCGGGGATCTTGTTGGAAACCAGAACCCTCCAGAGGTCTATGGCATGAGCACGAGCGAGAAGACTAAACGGATCAATATAAATTATATGTTGTTGGGCTCTGTTGGATGCGTACAGCTACACATACACAACAAAGTCGTCGTCAGGAACTTGAGTGCGTTGCTCCACACACTGCTCAATCCATTCCTTCGTGACTGTGCGTGGCTCTGGCAAGCCTTGGTGACGTAGGTTCCTGATGGCTGGTTGAGCTTGTTGGGCTAGAATCCGATCGGCCACCACCACATGCGTAACAGAGGAATCGATCTCGCCTGCAACCACCCCTCCGTAAAGTCGCAATTGCTGCTCGAGCAGCTTCGTTTGGCCCAGCAAGAGAGCGTCCGCGTCTGCATCATTGCTGAAGTGTTGGAAATACACCACGCAATGCGCCAAAAAGGTGTACTCGCAATCCATCGCTTCGGCCTCTTCCATCTCCAAATCTTTCATTTGGACTTGCCAAGGCTGCGGATGGCGTTCGCCTGCAGCAAGCCGGTTTTCAGACATGTAAGCGCTGGACAACTCTCGAATAATGCGCCGTAGATCAGCGGGTCCAATATGCTCCGTGAAGTGGTCTCCGTAGTGATCATATTCCTTCGCAAGAAGCTCGCGTTGTGAGTCCGTAGCGTATACAAAGTCGCCCGCCTTCAACGATATCAATCGAGCTACTGCAACACAAGTGAATATCCACCTGATGTGCACAATGTTGAACAAGCCTTGCTTCTTCAAATTCACCACTTTGAATCCAGCATCTCCAGCGGCCACAACGTAATCTGTGCTTTCGATAGGATTCTGCACAATAGTGCCTCCGAACGCATGGAGCAGCTTCTCAACTGTCTGCTTAGACAATTGCTTGGCGTTATCTTCGACAATACCGCTTGGAATCGCTGGGACGACGTCGGACGGAGGTGCTTCGTATTTTCCAGGCAGCACACAGAACTCCTTCCCTTCGAAAACATTTCGCTCTTGTTCAATACCTTCCAAATCTGCCCGAGAGTACCCTTGCAAGACGCCACTGGGGCGCCGAGATGAAATAGTCTGGCGCTTCTTCACGCGTCCCGTAGCAGTCTTCTGTCCCAGAGCGACCTCCGAAGCACGCTTCGTTGACAAACTTCCTCGCGCGGCATTTAGATCCTGAAGATTAATACACTGATACCATTCCTTGTCGTTGCGAATGGCCTTGCAGCGAGGGAAACGGATGGTCAGACCAGTCGAGTACAGCGTTGTGAAGGACAATTCAAACCCATACACTTCGAGAATCTTGGAGTGCCGCGGGTCAATCCAAACATCAGGCCGTAAATCGCTCTTTTGAGGCTTCCAGCCATTCAAATGAGGTGGGATGTTGTCGTCATCCCACGGCTGCCAATATGGTTCCAACTCCTGGCGCATTTGCTCCAGCTCATCCAGGTTGTAGCCCGTGCCAACTTTCGCAAACGTGTACACGGTTGGACAGGCAGCTCCCGGTTCAGTAGCTTTTGCCGCGCTGTTTTCATCTAGCGAGTGTGCTAGTACACCCAACAGAAATACTGACACGTTGCCACTACGGCGTCTTCCAACACCATAAAACCCGCCGATGATAATTGCATCCAGGTCTGTTGTCATTCCGGCATAATCTGGCTTCAGCTTCAACCACTTTTTCGTCTTACGACTGCTTTCTCCACACATATAATGAGCGTTTAGATCTTTCATAATGACGCCCTCACCTCCATTAGAAACCTGTTCATCCACCTCTGCCATGACCTTGCTGTGTCTTTCTTTTGCAGACTTGTCGTTGACAAGCTTCTGCTCGAGAATGATGATACGGTGGTCAAGCGGCTTTAAAATGCGGAGTAACAACTTGCGTCGCGCATGAAGAGGCAGGCCCATGACAGCACTAATTTCACCAGGCCCTTTGAATACCTCACGAATTAACTGCTCAGCTTTCGGGCTTCCACCAAGGTACACCACATCCCACACCACGTAGCACAACCATCGATTTGTCGCTTCTCCTTTGCGAACGGCGTTCGCAGTATTCTTCAGAAGTCCGAATTCACGCAGGCGATACCCCACATTATCCCACACCATCATCTCTCCGTCCAAGATGCAATCCACCCCAGGCTCCAATTGCGACAGCACATGCGGCTTAATCGAGGGCGCATAATTCTCCGTGTAGTTAATTCCGTTCCGCGAGATGAACTGCACCTCCTTCCCTTGCACATGGCACGTGATCCGCTCTCCATCCAGTTTGGGCTCCATCACAAATGCGTCCGCGTTGATTGCACTGATGCACTCTCCAAAGTTCACTCGCTTGGCGAGCATGGGCGTGAAAACTTGAAATGGCTCCAGTTGAGGCACATACCTCACCGCCGAGTTCCGCAGCTCCCTGCACACCTTGTGCAGATCATTTGTGTGGTTGTACATCTCCATAGCGTCGGGATGGATGAACTTGAGCACCCTTTCATGGCGCAGTCCGATCTTGAGGTCTTTCAGCACCACTCGTATGATCCACTTCTGCTCGTCTGCAGAGTACTCGGTCGCCAGCTTCATGATCACCTTCTTCCTGGTAGCATTGTTGTCTGCTTGGACCAGCGAGTCTAGCAGCGCATTAACGTCCTTTAAAGTGTGCTGCTGCCTGGATTTACTGGCCGTACTACGGTAGAGCATGACCTCGTAGAGCACAGCGGCAAAGTCCCCGACCGACTTGCTGTCGACGATCTTTGGGTCGTGGAAGTGCTCGAGCTTTTGTGCGTCCTTGCTGGCTGGCGACAGGCCCAGCACTTGCACGTAGATCTTGGCGATCTTCTTCTCCTTGAGCATGTACGTGCGCTCGCGGTCCAGTTGGGGCAGCACGAGCCGCACGAGCGGGTACAGGTCGCCGCCGCCCACCTGCGAGCGCAGCTCCTTGCTGAACAGCAGGTCCAGCTTCTTGTCGTTGTTGCGCGTGGCCTCGACGGCCTTGAGCACGGAGCAGAGCGCCGTGAACGACAGCCCCAGCGCCGCGGTCTCGTCCATCTTTGGCAAATTGCCAAGTGAAACAATTGGCGGGAACCCGGGTTCCCGCTAATGATACCGACCAAATCGCGAGTTATTTATTTAATTTTTGGCCTCCATATTGGTACCCTCGGGGCAAGTTAAACCCTCACATCTAAGTGCTGTCGATGAAGGACTACCCTCAAAATATGCCACAGGTACTGAATAGACCCAAATAACATACCTTACCATGTCCAAGTTTATCTTTCATGAGCAGGAGGATAGCGATGAGACCGGGAAGCACTGTACCGCTGCACCAGGCAAGCGACTGGATTTTCGTGGAGAGACACAGGACGAGGGCGAAGGTAAATTAACCTTCCGTTCCCCTACTGAGCTTCAGCTGCGTTCTATGTAGGTCATAGACCAACACTTCAATGCATTTGCTCATAGGTAGTTTTGGGGGAACCGGGGTCCCGATGGGTACCCGGGTTCCCGCCAATTGTTTCAAGTGATGGTTTTGACCAATAAGCACCACATGGGTACACTATTTTGTACCCATCTACTAACACCAAGGGCAGCATCAGACCCGTCTAACATGAAAAGCAGCACGAGGTCATACAGCCCCGTTATAGATGGATGGATAGATTTGCCGGCGCCGGCACTTCCGGTGCTTCTGCCATAACGGGCCTAATAGGGTAGTACTAAGTATAGTTAGAGGTGGTCTCACTACTAGATCATACATGGATGGAGTCTAACCCAGAGAACGAGCAATCGCACCGCAAGTTACTACGGCTTCAAGGAGACAAAGCTTACTGCTGCTGGCTGTTGCTGAAGTGTAACCGTTGCAAAATGACCAACTGCAAATGTAGCCATTTCTTTGTGCGACAGCTAATCCATCTGCACTGATGAAGTCCTTGGTGGCGATGAAGTCCGGCACCCTCGAGCTGCTGTCTGCGCAGCAGAAGCGCGAGTTCTTCGACCAAATCGAGGAGTTGCTGCGCTCTTCAAGACATCGGCGTCCTAAGTCAGAAGCCGTCGACAAGACCTCACCGAGACCGCCAACCTCGAACGAGACGCGGCGCACAACGACAGAATCCGATGCGCCGGAGAAAGAGCGTTTGCCAATAGAAGAAGAAGAAACAACTCAGAGAACAACCGACGAAGAAGAGGAAGCAGCAGTGGCAACCATGCGCGACCTGAAGAAGCTCGGAGCTTTGCAGCAAGAGAAGAGACCCGCAGAACGGAAGCCCAAAGGCTCAGCCGTCAAAAAGGCTAAGCGTGCAGCGTCCACAGCATCGGTAGATCCAAACACGCAGTTGTTACATGACCGGCGTGTGCTGCTGATTCCCTACGGGCCCGACATGGGTCGGAAGCGGCTGGAGATTTTGAAGGGACTGGTGAACAAGTTGGGTGGAAGTGTCGTGGAAGCGAGCCTGAAGACGAGCAGCAAGACTGGCAGTGGTGTAGCAATAAATTGGAGTGAAGTGAGTTTGGTTATCGCGAGCGCGCAACTGAAGCAAGACAAGGCAGCCGAGTTTTTGCGAGTCGACAAATTTCCTCCGCCTACCGTGGAAGTTTACACACCGGAATGGCTAGTGTATTTACGGCAAGAAAAGAAGATCCCGCCCGAAGGATCAATGCTGTCATGGTCTGAGCAGCAACAGGTCCACGAAGAAGCGGCGCAACATGAGCAGCACTGTGAGGAAGTAGCTCAGCAGCTGGAGGAGAAGAGGGCTCGGAAGAAGAAGAGTGATGATAGCGACAGCGACGAAGGCTCAAACTCGGACAACTCGGCCACGAGGGAAATCGTGCGAGCGCCACCCGTGCATATCGACAGCCAAGAAGTTCGCCAACAGCAAGCAGAACTTAACGAGAAGAACCGCAAATTGGTGGAAGAGCGCACACCTATCTTTTACAAGAACAACCCAGGTTTCCGACCGATTAACGAGGTAGCAGTACCTGATTCCAAGAAGATCAAGGGCGAAGGGTTTATCTGCCAACGATCATCGGGTACGTTCTCACAGCGTTTACAAACACACCATATCGAAGCGATTGTTGTATTTACTCGTTGATCATTTTTTAATGCTATGCTCAGCGGTCCAACAAAATCTCAACGCACATCTGACTGACCCCCTGGAGGAAATGATGGAGTTTCTCGACGTCGAAAAGGATATTTGGCGACAGTATATGTATAAGGTAATTGCGGTTGAGTTGCCAGGTTGCTACCTATGCTCGTGTTTGCCATATTAATGAGCTGTTTCTTGCAGAAAGTTGTATCCAGTCTCAAAGCCATGCGCCATCGCGTTTGCAGTGTAAAGGATTTTAAAGATATGCACTGGGTTAAGGGGCGCCTGAGAGACAAAGTCATCGAGATCCTTGAGACTGGGCGTTTGGCCAAGCTCGAAGCGAAAAAGAAGAACCCACGGCTCCGCGCACTAGTAGAGATCGCACGAATCTGGGGTGTTGGCCCAGTCACCGCTGCAAAGCTCTATGGGCAGGGATACAAGTCAGTGGAGGATCTACGAAAGCCCGAAGCTGCTGCTGTTTTGACAGCGCAGCAACAGATCGGCGTGAAGCATTACGAGGATCTGCTCACAAAAATCCCGAGGTACGCTACTCGTTTACGAATTATCTGTATCCCAGCGCTGTCAGCTGACTCCGTTAAATTTGTAGGGCTGAGGTCCAGCAGATCGAGCAAATTGTCGTTGATGAAGTTCACAAACTCATGCCAAACGCGATTGCGCTGGCCTGTGGCTCCTATCGTCGCGGAAAGCTGTCATCTGGAGATTGCGATGTGTTGGTTACCGACCCCGACGCTGAATCGTACGATATTCTGCCCCAGTTACTTAAGCGCCTCCACGCATCGGGGTTTCTTACAGGTGATGTTGGCTACTAGCGTTCTTGTTGCTGGTCATCCATCTTTTGCTGACGGTGCTTGCTCTGCGCCTTCAGACGACCTGACCCATTTTCAGAAGCAGAAAAGTGGTGGGTGTGATACCTACATGGGCGTGTGCCGCGTCTCTAAGGTTCGTTCTTGTCGTAGCTATTGGTATTTCGTTGTAGCTGTTAACCAGTGTTGTGTTCCAATATCGGCAGGACCTCCCGTATCGACGTCTGGACATCAAGATCTACCCTCGCCACTTCTTCGGCTTTGCAATCCTGTACTTCACAGGCAGCGACCACTTCAACCGCAGCATGCGCCTCTTCGCCAACAAGAACGGCTGGAGTCTGTCAGACCGCGCGCTCACTCGAGTCATGCGGGTGAACGGCACCAAGGTGCGACTTGGCGAAAGCGTCATCTGCGAGTCCGAAGTGGACGTGTTCATCGCTCTGGGACTCGAATACAAGGACCCCACCGAGCGCAACTGCTTCGACATCAAGTTCATCGAAGAGGACGAGGCCAAGGAGAAACGAAAGTCTAGTGCTAGTGCAGATGAAGAAGGCGGTGGCACCGAGTAGTGCCGAGTAAACTAGGGCTTCGCGGGGGCTGAGATAGCAAAAATAAACAAAACAGATAAACGCACAGCGCGGGCGACTGGTGCGCCGCAAGTGCGGCGCGCCTAAGTCGTGTGCGCTGTGCTTTTATATTATGAGCATCCACATCTACCAGATAATCAGACCTTTTAAGTACAATAACACACTTACGATAATATCAATTTGCTTTCTTGCCTCCGCGCTGTTTTAATAACCAAATACAAGCAAGTTAGAAGCTGCAGCAACGCCCTCCCAAGCAGACGACTATTCTTACCTTCGTGCTGTAAATTCACCCTGATGTTGCTGCGTCTTCAGGCGTGAGAACTGGAAATGATTCGAATGAAACTTGATGATGCGATTGATGCTTCTTCATTGATAGAGACCGACTAGGTAATTATTCAGAATACCTATTAAGTTTACTTTCATAATATTTCAATATATGATGGATAATTAAACGCATTCGTTACACGCACGGCTTCATGCGGGCAACCCGGAGCGTTGCTCCGGGAGTCGACGAATAGTTTCATGGACGATGATAACAGATAATAATTGAGTAAATCCCAAAGTTGTTTTGTTTTTAATCCTTAAAAGCATTACCAGCCCAACTCTCTACACCTTTTGCCGCCCATTCTTAGGTTAATCGCCGGCCAAATTTGGCGTGACCATTTTTTGGGTACACAAAAAGTATCCAAACTCAGGAGTACCACTGTATTATCTCAATCAAAGTTGGCTAATCCCCATTCGATGTAGTTAAAATTGACGAGATTCTGACGTTCGAAGGCGCGCTGCGCAAGCGCTTTCGCGCGCGCGCGAAATGGCCTACCGACGCGTGGAAGGAAGCTCGCTTCATGCTTTCATTCCTCATTCTTCCCTGAGCCCCACAGATGTCCACTCAAGCAACCTTCGCCCGCCACACCCCGGAAGAACGCCGCCGCGTCTTGGACGCCTTCCAGAGCGGCGGCGATTGGCGCACCGTCGCCCAGCATAACGGATTCGCGCGATCCACGGCCGAGTACCTCGTGCAGCACGGCCGAGTCGACCACCTTCCCCGCGGCGGCGCGCGGGCCACGAAGGTGACCGCGGAGATCAAGGCGACCCTTGAGCTCTGGCTCAACGAGTGCTGCTCGTATAGGTTGGGCACGTTGCGGGCCATGGTGTACGAGGACTTCGGAGTGCGCCTCTCCGAGACGACCATCTCTCGCCACCTCAAAGGCATGCTCTTCACGGTAAAGCAGGTGAGACGTTATAATTGCTATCGTTCTCTATGTATTTACGGTTAACGCATTGCTATCGAACTTTTAACTTGAGGGCTTGGGGGATAAATTGCGGAATGAGATATACGCTAATGGGCCAATTCCTTGGAAGTGGGTGCTTCAACGCAGGAAAAAAAGTCTTGTTCAAACGAACGATGCTCGTGTCACTGTCGAGTTGAGCTGCTTGGTTTGGCGACAGACACGAGGTTGGGCATCTTCGGCTAAGAGTAATTGGGTATTGAGCAAATTGACATGTAAAAAAATGCAGCCTGCACCTAGACAAGTCATGTTGTTCATCTTCAGCTAAGCTTGGTCGATTATGGCGCAAATTGATACGCCTTCAGCGAAGCCATGACGCTCTCGTTTTGTACTAGAGCGTCCGTAAGTGTTTGAATGCAGGTTTTGGTAAATAATAAACGATTAGTATCAACCTTTGATAAATAATGTGCATAAATCTTAGCATTTATCGACGGGTACCCGATTCCGGCAGATATTAGCTTAAACATTACAATTAAGAAAGAAAGACCCGGTTTGGTACCCGGTTTTGGAAAGTTACAAGTTTTTTGCCGGGGCCGAGCACACCTGTGAATTAATCATGTGCCGGCTGCGTAGCAGCATACCTTACGGTACACTAGCTATCTCAGTATGTAGTCTAGCATCAGCTCCTATCTATTCCTCCCATAAGTTGACGCCAACTTAACATCTTACAAAACCAGAGTCAACTAAGAATTTGGTAGGTATCCACAGCTGTTTTGCTGTTTGCCCAGTCAGAAGGACATTGAAGACGGATCCGGCCCCTGAAGATGCCGCTGTTCCTCGCGAACCTGGCCATGGCCAGCTACTTCCTGGCGCTCTGCTACGTGCTGATCACGGCGATGACAGTGAACAAGTACATTGAGCTCCGGGGCGTGCTCAAGCGGCACCAACACACGACGTGGAGCACCGTCCAGCTGCTGATACTGAGTGTGGCGCTGGGCTCCTTCTTCCGGTCGGCCACCTTCTCCACCCTCTGCATCTTCGACTCGCAGGCCACCGCAGATTTGCCCACTGGGATCTCCGGCACCAACCCGTGGACTCGCGGGGGACTTCCGCCGGCTTATGGTGGGGAAGATGCGGAAGACGCGGACGGAGCCACGAGGGGCCAGGCTGGCAGCCACGCGCAGGCAGAACTGGACTTCTACAACAAAGTAGTGGCTGTGCTGTTCAATTTGCCAGACTTTTTGTTCGTGTCGTCCTATTTGCTGCTGGTGCTGGTGTGGGCTGAGGCCTTTCAGTCGGTAGGTCGGTGTACAGGGATGGTGGTGAAGTGGTACTGGAGCTAACGCTTCTGCTCATTATTATTTGCGAACTTGCAGTCACGACGTCACTGGTTTTCGGCGGCAGTTTTTAGAAGGAAGTGGATGATCTTCTACCTGGTTTTCAATGGAGGTTTGTACCTGACGCAGCTCGTGCTGTACGCAAGTTTGTTCCTGTACGACAAGAACGGGATCTTTGATGATGAGAAGCAAGATCGCCTCAGTGTTGTAAGAGGAACTTGTTTGAGCGTAGTTTTCTTTTATTGGCAGGTCTAACTGGTTGTTCTTCTGCTTGTACCGCTCTACAGATACCCGCGACGATCTTCTACTTGGTCGCAGCGGCTGATCTATTCCTTCCGATTATCATTTTCTCGACGTGGCTCTATTTGACACTGTCGCTGTCGGGTTTTCCGTTCAAGTCACCATCGGCAAAACTTCGACTCCAGCGCGTGGGGCGACTTGTGATGGCGTGGAGCTGTGGAAGAATTCTATACAGCGTCATGACACTGCTTACATTCACCAAGGTAGCTACTGCGAATGGTCAATCACGATACTCTTCTGTACTAAGTTCTTTTGTGGGCGTGTCCAAATAGGGATGGTTCAATGTGCACCGCGAGCATGCTTCAGTACGTTGGAAATTGATGAGCTGTGTATGTCTTGCACGTTCCAGTACACTGACCAATACTTTCATGTCGATTGTGCAGACTCAGGCAATGTTACTCGTGGGGGTGTTTTTCGCCGCCGAGTTGATTCCCATTTATTTGACACTGGACAAGCGCCTGTTGGCGATGTTATCCGTGGAAAACTACGAACCATTACTAGAGAGCTCGGAGATCTACCGCTAGTTCCAAGTGCAAGCAAGTGATATTTATCCAAACGACAGAGTGCTACTAGCATGGGATCTGGAGCCCCTGCTCAAAAATAAAGATAGCACGCGTGAGATCATTCGGCATCCTATATCCAAATGAGGACAGTAGCAGCGCTGCACAAGTGATCAGGATAATGCAGCGTGGGCACGAGTGGATCGACAAAATACGCTCATGGAAGCAAGATCTATGTGATGCATTAGCTCAGATTGAGGTGGGTAATCGAGCAATGAAATGAGCCGCGTTGGTGTGCTTGAGTCAAGCCTTGACGGCATCCTTATTCATTGTGTTCAGGAGATATCAAGGAATCAAAAGAACATCTTGCATTTGCATCTCGAGACACATCCGGTATGTGACTCGAATTCGCCCCGTACTTATCAGAAGGATACTCACTAACAACATCACTGTTTCTTACTCGCAGCTCCCATTCCAACCGTCTCCAGTGCTGGTGCAACTTCTACAAAACGACCGACGTAGGCGAAGCGGCAGCATTCTCGCAGCATCAGCCAAGCAGCGCAAGCAGCAACTGAAAAGTGCCGATTATTTGGACCGCAAGGTGCGTGATCTGCCCTCTTTCTAGTTTTGTTGGCGATGCTTATTGACGGAAAGAAATCTGGCAGTTTGAGTCGGAGATTCGCCAACACTATGAGCTCGAAAATGCACAAAACTGTGGCAAATGGAAACAATTTCATTTTCAGGCCTCGGAGGCTCGCCGTCAACTAGCTTCGGGGGTTGAGCGCGACTTCCGTCAGTTCTGTTATCATATTAAAGTTTCCCCGGATGAAGTAGTTCAACTACACGAGCAAGTTGGTCAGCATCATCAAAGCGATAACCAACAAAGAGACGATCCTGCTCCAGCAACCTCTCATCCAATTCCAGACGCTGCATCGACCACAGTCTCAATCGAGGATACCTTACGTTTACACCTCGCACACGAATGGGTGCACCAGGAGCGGTTTAATATCCAGGAAGCGTTCACCAACCAAACCAAGAAGCTACAAGAGGACTTGGATACTTTTTTGGACCAACAGGAGGCTGAGTTCGGTGAGGAGCGGCAGAAGGTGTTAAACGCATCCATACAAGAACGTCCAGCACCACAAAACAAGTCGATTACGCTGAAGCAACAGCGTCGCAAGACTAACACGCAATTTCAGAGCAATACCAAGCGAGGAATGATAGTGCATACAGCGCCTCTTTTACGAATTGAGCCAACGGGGGACGGAGAGGACAAAGTGCAATGGACAGCAAGCTCAGCTATCCGCAGGCCATGGAGAACACGCAGTGATGTGGACATAACTCAAGAGAGGTTGGATGAGCTTGAGAGGCGGTTGCGGATTCGCAAAGAGGTGGGATGGCTTCTATCCAAAGTAGCTTTCTGCAAAGCTGCAGGTAATCTCTGTGGTTTCAGCTCATAAACGTTGCTACTGCTGTGTCTGCAGGTAGCCGAAGCAAAACGCAAGGACGGTATGCAATGGATCGGCCGGCAGTGTGCTCACTTGTTTGCCCAGGTAGACTGCAAAGAGACTGAAGCCAGAGTCGCCGCGATGGTATTGGAAGAGGAGCTCAAGGAGCTCGGCACACTGCGTGCTCGAGTCTCTGAAATATCGTACGTCACATGAGATCGACTTTACCGGACAACCTCCCTGCCCTCTAACCGGTATCGCTATTGTCAACGCAGGTCCAATCTCGAGAGGGTTTGCAACGAACAGAATAGCAAGCTAAGCAACGGCTTGCCTCGGCTACCAAGTTCGAATTCGGCGAAGAGAATGCCACAGACGATCGAGAAAAACACTGAGTAAACGAAGACGTCGTACAGCTAAACAGGAAGTAAATTATGAGCGTGTACGTTTCAACACGTAGTACAAGCTTTTGCTGGTGCAAGTGTGGCCGGCTGGCGCGCTGGTAGCCCGAACGCGGCAAAAACTAAGCGAGAAAAAAAAAACTTAGCTGTGCTGGATCTGTACGGGTGGACCGAAGTAGCTGCAGATCCTGCCTCTCTGTCGCGAGCCTTCTGCCTCTTGACACCTTTCAACGAACTCCCTTCTGTCGACCATCAACCGAGCAAAACAGCGTCGAGAAACTAGGCTGCCGTGAAGTCGAACATGGGGTGGAGGACCAACGACTCCCAGTCCACAAGCTGGAAGTAGGATTCGAGCATCGGCAAGCGATTGCCTGCAACTGCGGAGGTACTGCCGTACTTGCCACGAATCGAGATGTCAAAGCCGCCCTGGGCGTCCACGCGCCTCGAAAACTTCCACATGAAGCACTCATCAGTCCACACCAAGTGCTGCGCGTCATTGGTGGGCGGCACAACGGACTTGCTGATGATCGCGAACGTGTCCTTATCGATCGAAATGCGGCACACGAGCGTCATGGCGTGGCGCGGAAAGCTCTCGCCAATAAATTGGTGGATGTTGCGTGTCAGGTACATGTTGTCGTTCAGCTTCTTCAAAATCTACAGTTCATAAGCACGGCACTAAAACAGTTAGGCTTCAACGCAGAACTAACTAGAGTCATCCCCGCAGCTGCAACGTACGCAGAACTTGCTTCGTCGACGGTACAGAAGTTCCTGTTTGGCTTCATCGTGGAACATCGCCCAGGTTTCGTTGAACACACGAGCCATGTCCTCGCCGACGAAGCTCTTCTCCGAGAACGTGTGCATGTACATGGACTTAGACTCGCGCTTGGTCTGCCAGCCCATGTAGGTGGCAGCCTCGCCGCTCACTTGGTACTCCATCATCTCCATAAACGCCTCGCGGGACGTCTTCTCCAGCTCCTCGTCGGGCGGGTACTTGACATTTTTCATAAATTGGATGCTATCGGTCGACGGCTGCGTCAACGCCACCGGAAAATAAAATGTCAGATCCCACACAACCACTAATGAAAACATTCAGCCCACTCACAGGCATGGCCTGCTGAATCTTCTCGGCGAAGCGCTGGCGCTTGCGGTTCTCGCTGAGCAGGAACTCCTTCTGGCGACGCAGACACTTGGTGAGCTCCATGACTTCCACGTACTTCTCGATCTTGCTGGAGCGCTCCAGCGGCAGGTTGGACTTGTCCTGGTTGGCGCGGGCAGCGATGCGACTCGCCAGCACGTTCTCGAGCCGCACGATTTCCGTCCTCATCTGCTCATTGTCGGCCTGTCGTGGACAATCCATCAACAAGACCATAACACAAAGTCAGCACAGCGTAGGGGAGGATACAGAGAGGCACCGCTGCAGTTCATGCACGTACGCCGGACGAGCTCTTGGAGTACGGGCGCGCGGCCAGACTGCTGCTGCCGCCGCCGTTGCTGGAGCCGTCGTACTGGTCGTCGCTGCCGTTACTCCCGAGCAGCGTGAGCGCGTACTGGTCGTTGCTGCCGAGGTCCAGTGCCATGTTTGCGTCGTCGTGCAGGCGTCGGGCGGGCGGTCAGGCGGGCGGGTCACTCGCGTACGGCGAAGGCGCGCGCGGCTTGCTCTTCCTGCCTTTGAGCGAGCACTTCTCTCTGTCTCCTCTCCCCAGCTGGCTGATCCCATGAGCCTAAGTCTTCAGATTTGTTATTTCAGGTGCATAAGTTTAAGCAGTCCTAATCAAATTAGCCCAGCACCAAACTGGATAACGTCATTGTATGCATTCCTACCTATTATCCGTTCTCAGAGTATCACGTGAGCTCCATCGCCCTAAATTAGGCCAAAAAGTAGGTCTTATTCGTATTGTGTAGCGTACACAGTACTTCAGCCGCCAGATGGGGATGGACGGGGCGCCTGTGCGATTCGAAAGCCCAGAGGACACTCACGTCAAGACCACCAAGCGCCGCGCGTGCCCAGCCCACCGCGCGAGCTGCTCTCGCTGTCCTCCGCGCCACCTCCAACGCCAGTCGCCGGCCGCTGCATCGCATGGGTGACGAGAAGAAGAAGAAGACGTCCCTGGCCGCCGCAGTCTACGGCGGTGCGTCACTGCAGCCACTTCAACGTGGGGCCGGCCGATCCTAGTGGCTCGGATGGATGGAGACCGACTCACGCGCTCTTTGCTGCCATTGATACAGGACCTGTGGACGGCAGCGACGGCCGCAGCTTGGAGAGCGTCACGCCGCTGAGCATGGAGGCCGAGTGGGACCCGTACGTCCAGCGCAAGCAGCACGGCGTTGGGTTGCAACCCATCGTGGTACGCCTCGCATCCGTATCTGCAATAGCTTGGATGTTCTCACGTGGTTGTTGTGTGTGTTTTTTTATTTACTTTGTGCAGGGTGTCCTGCGGAACGACCGGACGCCGCTTAACACGCCGTACACGCCGCAACTCATGAAGCTGCACCTGAAACGGCATGAAGAGTACGACGAGCGGGACGAGTACGACGAGCGGCCTGGGAAGCAGCTCGTGAGCACGGTCAAGTCCAAGATTGTTCTCGTGGTGCAGCCTGTGCACAAGATTCGGTGCGTATTATCGCAGCGTTCGACTATTCTGCGTGTGCGTGGTTGGTGAAATTCTGACGAACTAGCTATACGTTCTGCACGGATTTTTGAGCAGTGCCGCGGTGAACCATGTTGTGTCGATTGTGGTGCCAGGCTGCATCCAAGGAACCACGCTGTTCACCAAGGTTTGTTGGGCTATTAGGTTGTTGGGAAGCTACCGCCAGCATTTTAACGTGTTTCTATGTTGTGTGTGTGGTCTAGATGCGCCCGTGGGTTGTGTGGCATTTCACAGCCGTGGTTTGTGTGCCATTCGTGATGCTTCTGAGCCCAATGCTAATTGCACTCAGCATCTGCACGTCGCCGATCTGGATTTCTGGCATCGCGGTCCTGTTTGTTCGTCTGCTCATGCGGAGCCACCCTCCACTCAAAGACGAATTCAGTCCCGACCCCGAAGAGGAAGAAGACGCGAGCCCGCACCACCCGAACTCTATGTATCGACGTGCGCACCTCACCAACAACCACGGCCAGCGCGGATACCGTTGAAATGGCGAAGTTGTCCCTTCTTCCATGCTACCCGTGGTTGGTCGGCGCTAGTAGTTAGTGATTTATTTTTTCTGGTGGTTAACCTTAACAAGTCGTTGCTCTCGAGCATGTATGTATGTGTGCGACCGCATTGGTCCTGCGTTATTGGGAGGGCACAAATGCTCTCCTTCGTTACGATTCAGACACCTTTCGTGGTCACAAGCACAGCGCCGACAACGGCAGCAACTACTCCAGCCAGAAATTCCTTCGAGAACTGAAAGCATTGCGCGCATGTCGGCGTCGAAAAGCTGCCACCACGCTGCGAAGACGTGGCAAGTAGATCAGAAGCCTCATCGATCGCCGACGCCTTCGGGCTGGGAGCAGCGCTCACAGGGGATGCTTCAATTGGATATGCCTCGTCATCGGAGTGCAAGTGGACGTCCAGCATCGATCCGAGGAAGTCCGTGATGGGCACCTCGTCAATGGAGCGGCCGAGAATATCGGTCCGGTAATCAGGAGTCGAAAGGAGCATCTTGGGGTCGTAAAAGTTGAAGAGGTCTCGCAGCGTCCCGTTACGAATGGAGTCACCCACCTTCATGCGCTGCAGGTAGTCCAGCGTCGAAAATGTGAAGCGATCGATGACCGACAGCCCCAACTGCGTCAACACAAAACATATACATCGACGTCATTAACGATATGGCACAAAGGGACCAAAAGCCGTCACAGCAATACAAACCTCGAAGTCTGAGTGGTGGGCGTATGAGTTCTCGCCAGTTTGCGAGCTGCCGATAGTCACTACCTTGGGCGACTCGAGTGCATTCGACAGTGAGCCAGCCTGGCAGGTGTCCACCATGAAGAAGATTTCATTGTAGCTGCCGGCATACTCCATTTAGTCTCAATTCAGCCATGAAGAATGCAATGGAAACGCACCGCTTCTTCACGTGCATTTCCTGAATCGAGTCGGCGAGGTCTTGGCTCGACATCTCTTCGAAGTCCTGGCTCATGGGGGTCACGCACGCACGACTGAAAGTAAGTACCCATCACCGCGTCGACCTTCATTGTCTCGCATACTGTACCTGGAATTTCAAGAACCCATCGCCGCCGTGGCCAGACATGTAGAGCTGCAGCAACCGAACGACAAACACAACATGAGCAACAAGGACTGCTTCTAGCTCGGCAATCGAGGCTCATACGAAGATGTTGCTGTTCTCGTCCGTGTCGAGCTTCTTCGAGGCGGGTGTTCCAGGCTCATGGCGACCTGTATGAACAAGTTCGTTTTTGTTAACAAGTGGATATCGCTTGCTCGTGCCATAGGTCTAACGCTGCCCACGCACACGCACCTGTAAGGACGGTGATGAAATTGGCGACCGAGACCTCGGAGCCGCGGTAGTCCACCTCTACGTTCTTCCCGTAGCTGCATACATCCAGATAGCAGCACATCAGAGAGCCGCCCCAGTCGTGCCCAGCATGCGATCCACTGCTTGTCCACCGTCGCTACAGCCAACACAACTAGCACCACGCGATTCTTACAGGTTGATCTTCTGCGTCCGGCTGTTGAACACCTGCCCTGGGAAGCAATTACGGGCGTTGCACGGCATTTGGTCCGCCAGCATCAAGATAATCTACACCGAAACACAGAGGATGAAGCAATTCGCGGCAAGATCCAGCCAAGATGCCACCGTCAGCTCTTTCGTCTTCTACGTGCACTCTGAGCTCTGTCTTTCAATTTCCAGCCTCTTCACCTGACTGTCCGGGATGCCGAGACGCTTGACCGAGTGATACAGCGACAGCGCATTGGCCACGTGTCTGTAGTTGCTCCAGAAGCGAGACGTGTCCACCTGGCGGCAGCAAACAGCGCGCAAACCGACACGGAAAATGTTAGGGCCGATCCTCTCAGGTGACGCCGGCTGCCTACGCACTTACGATCACAGCCCAGTTGTTGGTGTGGCGGTGGTACTCCTCCCCACACACGCAGCCCAGCGCTAGCAGCAGCGGCACCCACAACGAGAGCGTCAGCCGCGCCATGCTTCAAAGCTGATACTGTACTGTTGTATCAATTCTACGATCAGTCGAAGTCTTATTCCTAAAATCAAGATTGTCTAAATTTAGAACGGATACAAATGTCCGGATCTCCCGCGCATAGTGTAAGTTAGTGTAATCCATCGCCCGCAAGATGTCGGACGTCCTGGTGGCGCTAGTGCGCGTCAAGAAGCGCGACGGGCGCGCCGAGTTCTCGGCCGCGGGGCTGCGCTGGACGGCCGACGTGTCTCCCGAGGCGCCCGCGGGCCAGCACCCGCCCATCGTGGTGCCCTGGAGCACCGTGCAGGACCAGCAGGTGTCGTCGCTCTCGAGCCCCAAGGCCATGATCCGACTGCGGCTCGCGCACAACGCGACGCTCGTGCTGGAGTTCGTGGCGGAGTCCGGCAGCCTGGAGGAGGCCTTCGAGGTGCGCGAGCAGGCCAAAGAGCTGATCGCGCGCCGCCTGCGCGAGAACGGGGCCCGAGGGACGCGCTCCAACGCCGCGGCGCTGTGCAACCCCACGGAGATCAAGCAGCGTGCGGCTCTACTGGCAGCCAACCCGGCGCTCAAGCGGCAGCACACAGAGATGGTGAACGACGGCCTGATTTCAGAGGAGGACTTCTGGGCGAGTCGCCGCCATTTGATCGCGGGCGAGGCGAGTAAACGCCAGAAGCTGGGCAAGACGTCGGCCATCCTCACGGATCTGGCGGCGGACAACGATGCGGCAGGCAACGTGGTCAAGTACAACTTGAACGCCGAGGTGATCCACCAGATCTTCATCCAGTATCCGGCCGTGTACAGGGCGTACCAGGGGCAGGTGCCGGACAAAATGACGGAGACGGAGTTCTGGGGAGCCTTCTTCAAGTCCAAGTACTTCCATCGTGACAGGAAGGCTGGCCACGAGGACATGTTTACCAAGTACGAGGAAAAGGAGAAGGAAGAGTCGAAGGGCGTGACGATCGACCCGCGCGGGATTGTGGATCCGTTGATTGACCTCACGAGCACAGAGGAAGACGCTGCAGTGCACCATGCGAAGCGGCAAACGACGGAGAAGGAAAACCCATCCAGCATTACGATCGCCAAGTTTAACAGGCACGGCGCTTACGTGCTTGATCCGGCACACGCAGGGAAACTGCAGCAGCAGAAGGCGGGGAAAGGAAAAGCGCAGCAAGCGCTGCCACAGAAAAAGCCCAAGGCAGGTTACCTCGACAACCTGGTGGATGCGACACTGCTGGACGATCTGCAGAATAAAGCGCCACCACCGTACAATCCGCTTACATTGGAGGACGAGTCGCGCTACTTCCAGCATGCGGAGAAGGGCACTGCCGCCGATGGCAACACAACAGGCAAGCTGTCACTCATGGACGCAGCGCAGGTGTTCCAAGCGACGTGTAAGGCACCGATCAAACTGGACAACGCCTATCCGAGCTCCACGACATGCTTCAATGTACTGGCCGAAGTCGTGGCGTGCTCGGACTCCACCAGCGACTCGGCTTCAGCTTCTTCGGCTGCGAACCTGGCAAGCGGTGCACTGGCGGCTGAGTACATCCCCAACGAGTTCAAGAAGCAAGTTTACAACCAGTTCCACGACGTGTGCGAGCTGTTGCGGCACTTCCTCTCGTTCAAGGCCAAGGTGGCAGAAGGCGGCGGCCCGGACGCTCAGCGCAAGCTCAACAAGATCGTGGAGAAGATGGGGTCCAAGTACGACGAGCTGGTGAAGCTGCGCGAGTCGCTGCCTCCGCACGAAAAGAACCTGCTGGCCCCGCTGCTCAAGCCATTCGACGACCAGCTCAACCTGGCCTTTATTTAAGCTCTCGCGCAGCCAGAACGACAGCACTGCTGATAGTTGCTGTTGCTGTCAGCAGCATCCGCTCTGAATGCAATATTCGCATTGAAATACAACAATAGAGAAATGCATTCATACGCTACTGTCAAATTTTCGTCGCCAAGAGGAGATGGAGTCTGGCGACGAGATCCCCGCAAGTGTTGCAGCCGCTATGGAGGGCGCCAGCAACACTTCCAGTGAGGCTAAGCTGCACCCTCCCTCTGTATCGACAGTGTGCGCCTTAGTGCCGTTTTCCTTCCGGAGTCCGTTCCACGACGCGCTGCGAGACGCCACTCGATGGTTCCCGATCGCCGGCAAGCGCATCCGCGTTGACCAAGCGTGGCAGAGCGACGGGCGCGGCGGAACAGCGTTGGGCTTCGGTGCTTCAGTATACGACGCAGCCATCGCGCTGTCGCTGTATTTGGCGGCTCATCGAGATCTGGTGATTGGGAACCGCGTCATCGAGTTAGGCTGCGGTCCTGGACTTGTGGGCGTCGTGGCTGCTCACTTGGAGCCCAAGAGCGTCGTCATAACCGACGGAGATCCAGCGTCGGTGGCTCTCACTAAGCGCAACATTGAGGTGAACGAGCTTCCAGGAGACGTCTGCTCTGCTGAAGAGTACTTGTGGGGGGATCTGGAGCACCCCCTGGTTCCGACGAGGGACGGTCCGGAGCACTACGACGTGATTCTAGGAGCTGACATCGTGGCGTGTCCGTACGCTTCGGCATTTGAATCGTTGATGACGTCGCTCAAGGCGCTGGCTGGCCCTGACACGCTTGTACTGCTCGCCTACAAGAAGCGCCAAAACTCCGAAGAGAAGTTTTTCGATACGTTTAAAACGGTGTTCGATATCGTCCCGATCGATAGATCGGAGTTGCATCCTGACTTTCAGGACGGAGAAGATATCGTTATCTTCCAAGCGCGACTGAAGAAGAAATAGAGGTAGAGCACGAGAAATGAATTCTATTCGTCTTGTGTCGATAGTGTGGTGTCTTGATATGTGTATCTATCTACTTGTCTAGACTCTCGATCAGGATACGGCTGAAGTCGTCCGGGTTTTCCAGGAACATTTGGTGTCCTCCGTTCGGCACACGGTAAAGCTCAGCAGCTCGGTTCTTCTCTTGGAATCGCTCTACGATACCCTGTCCATGGCGGTAGTCCATCCAGTCGTACTCGCCGTAAATGAACGTGAGCGGCATTTTCACCTTTTCAGGGAGCAGTTGGTCCACCAGTGGACGAATTGCGTGTGCACCTGGAGCCAGGTGTGTGGTCATGGCGCGCTCGCCGCTTGGTTTGAGTGCCCAGTTGTGGTAAATGTACTCGGCCAACTCAGTAAGGTCGACACGGCCGTCACGCATAGCGCTTCCTTCCGACATGAACGAGGCTCGACGGTGAACCACGTTGTGTACCAGCTTGGGGCCGTAGGGACCTACGAAGCGAGCCAGGGACATCGGCGTTACTCCGTTCTCCCACGCCGAGAAAACCATGCGCCTCAACCACGAGCGGTTGGCAATTTTTCCTTCTTCTGTACTCGGGTCGGGGGGTGGTGGTGGGTGAGGCATCCCCGCTGGAGACGCTAATACCAGGTGCTGTAGAAATTGCACAGACAACAAAACGTCTTGTTAGATTGTACGAAAGGGATGAGTAGAGAAGTTCAGACAGCATGGTATACGAACATTTACATGCTCGGGGTTTCTCAGAGCGTATGATGACGCAAAGATGGCCTACGTTTTAACATCAAGGGGTAATGTAACAGCAATTAGCCAAATGGATCAGTGTTTGCGTTTGCATCGAGAAGGATTTCTTACCCCCATGGAATGGCCACACAGATCGAACTGTTCCAACTTCATCTCCTTTTGCCAGTTCTCAAACGACCCCACGATGAAGTCGTTGGCGCTATCGTACTGCACAATTCAGTCAACGAAAGGACGAGAAAGTTAGTTGTCAGTGCTCTCCCAGCGCTTTTCTTGAAAATAAGAACACATACATCTTTGAAGTTGAAGTCCGGTCGATCCGAGCGGCCAACACCGATCCACTCTACCGCATACTGTCATTATCAACAGTGATAGTGTCAGTAATAGAACCAATGCGTCATCTAAGCTTATCCCCAAAACTTACCACGTTGAAGTGCTGGGACAGTTTTTCCAAGTTCTGTGGATACATCACAGTTCATACCTTCATCAGTCACAACCACCGGACGCCAGACTTCAGTCAATGCTGCTATTACCATTGCCCACACTGCATTGCCACCAGCGAAGCCGTGAATCAACACGAGGTTCTTTGCATTGACGCGCTTCTTCTCGTCCGAACAGGGGACCACCACGGTGCCGAGCTGCGCGACCTTCTTCATCTCGAACGGCGTCGGAATGGCTCGTGTGAGAATCTTGCGCTCGGCCTCCTCGAGTTTGGAATAGCTGGCAGGCACCCAGTGCCACAGTCGGCCCTCCGTCGCCACACCTGCAGCGAGCAGCACCGCTTCAGCACCGTACCTTAGCTCGTAAGCATGCAACAAAGACGACAACAAATGAAGATACGTACCGGTGGTAGTGGCGATGGGGCGCAGCATTCGCAGCATGGTGTGTTATTGTCTGATGGAGGCCAAAGCAGTTGTGCGGTCCGAGGACGATTCCACCGTCATTCCCGAAGAGACAAGTATACATATGCGAGAAGACAGTTTGAATGCACATGATGCAGAAGGACAGTTTGATTACGCGCCCACATGATTGCGACAGGATCGGGCGAGGGCCGCGAGGAGCAGCTCGTTGAACGCGGGCGCGTTGTCCATGAAGAGCTGGTGTCCCGCGCCCGGCACGAGCAGGACCTCCACAGTCTGCTTGCCCTCGAACGCCTTTGCGACCTTCTCGCCGTGGCTTGAGCTCATCCAGTCGGGCCCGCCGCCGTAGATGAAAGTGATGGGGATTTCGATGCTCTCCGGCGTGAGCATCTCGCAAAGCGGCCTCTTCGCAAATACACCAGGCAGCAAATGCGAATGCATTGCGATCTCACCAGATTTCTCTAGAGCCCAATTGTTGTACCAGTAGGCGGCCAGCGCGTCTTGTGGGATCAGTCCGCGGCGAATACAGCTCGTCTCGGGCATCACACCTACGCGCACAGATGTGCTGAAGCGCAACAAGCGTGGACCGAAGGGACCGGCATACCTCGCGACACTCTGCCATTGTTGCAGTAAAAAAAAAACGATTAGATCGATTAGGCACGAATATCGAAGTTGAAATGGGTTATACGTACCATTGGGGTCAGTCGCAGATTCCAAATAGAGCGGAAAACTCGAAGTCCGAGTGGTAGTTTTTTCGATGTTGGTGGGTGGCCGACTCCAGCGGGGGAAATCAGCGCTAGATGCTCGACATGACCTGGATACTTCACAGCGTATGAGGTAGCAAACATAGCCTACAGAAATAGTGTTGCAAACCGTGTGCAGTTAGGCAACAAGCACTTGCCGATGGAGTTGATTAACGGGCGACACTTACTCCCATCGAGTGGCCGCCAAGGTAAAACTTGTCGAACTGTGCATCAAAGTAACCCTGAGTAAGTAAAAGAACGATAAGCAATGCAGCACAGGAACTATTTACCTTCAGCTCTTTTCTCCAGCCCTCCAATGCCTCGACCATTAGCTCATTTACATATTCCCACTGAGGAATGAAAAGGTTATTAGCACAGAAGTTCTTAGCCATACCCCCACAGCACAAATACAAACCTCATAGGAAGTGAACTTTGGGCGATCAGACTTCCCGGTCCCAAGCCATTCGACCGCATACTGAACGTCACAAGGACAACAATAAGATACATCGCAAAATAACAAATCAAATCGTAAAGCCATACCACGTCGTAGTGCTTTGAAAGATCCTCGAAATTCTGGAGTTGAAAGCACACATCACAGCTGTAGGTAACTCAATACTAGATAAGTTGACATAATTTGCTAAGACTTACACATGCCCAAAGTGCGTTCCCTGCAGCATATCCGTGAATCAGTACCAGAGGCAACGTCGGTTCGTCAGTAGAAGGCGCAGTGCAAGGGACGTGCACCGTTCCCAGTCCAGCGATTTTCAACGTCTCGAAGGGCGCCTTTAGGTTGCGTCCGATGATTTCATGTTCCAAGCGCTCCAGCTCGGAGTATCGCGCAGGGATCCATAGCCTAGCGCGGGTTATCACAACCGTCACTGGGAGCGTCAGGTAAGCTCCACAGAACACATCTGACCAAGTAAGTAAAGCAATGTTAGTGAGCTGCAACTAAGCTTCTGTAGTACAGCGCAACATCAGAAATCGTCGTACACATCGAGTAGCTTGACAAGATCTGCCAGCGGGAGAGTACATCAATACTTGGTCTCCACAAAGATGCTGCACCAATAGCAAACGTTGCCAGCAGCATACTGCCAACGATATCCATGCGGCGTTCCTCTGGCTTCTGGCTGAGGTGAAATACCAGCAGTTGATCCAACTTCCGCTGGGCTAGCAGCAGCGCAACAAGCCATCCCGCCAGCGCCAGCTTTGTCCATTTGTCGTCTGTTCCCCCTTCAACATCGGTAAGGAAGACTTGAAATAGAAGCCAAAGTCCCAGCACAGCCAGGAAGTGCAGCCCGGTCTTGGCAATCGTGCGCGACGGAAGCGTCAAAAGCGCCCCCAGGCATCCGTACGCGATCCACACGGGCGTCAACAGCACCAGCAGCGACAGCACTGCCAGAACCTTCCATGCCGATAGCCGGGGGCGCTTCACGGGCTCTTGCGCTGCCATTGGAGCTGCTACCGTCTTGTGCTCGAAGTGCGCCACGGAAGCGGAGACTGGTCTACTCAACATGCAAATGGTATAATCATTTCAAGATGGCTATATTTCGGTGATCGTTGACTTCAACAAGATCAATTAAGAAGCACCGCGACAAAGCCTTTGGCTCGAACCGCATCATGGACTGCGCAACGGGTGGGTTCCGAGCACTCCATAGCCATGTCAAGGCGATGAAAGCAGCATCATCGCGCTATGCTGCTTCCTCAGTTAGTTCCGATGAGGTACGAAATGTTTCGGCTTTGGCGACTAGTGTTCATCTGACGTCTTGTGTGGCTGCAGGGAGAACGATTGGGGACACCGAGGAGTCCAGAGATCACCGATGTCGGTAAGACCATCTACCATTCACGTGTTGGCTTCAGCGTGACACTCAAACGATGATGAAGCTACTGCAGGGTTGCGTGGCAACCAGGAACGCTTGTGGGAACAAGAGAAGAACCTGAATGCTCTTCGTGTACGGTAAATTGTCAAACCCTCTACCTTGTGATAAGGCGTTCATTATCAGATGCGTACTGGGCTTGCTGGAGCAGGTTGCTGTCTTAAATGAACACCAAACGCTTGAGGTGGATTCAGAAATTGCATATACTGTAGGTCTATTCCTAGCAGCACGGATTCAACGATCAAACTTTATGTTTCCAATGTAGGAACGAGAACGAAACGTTCGATCTATGCAGTGTACTCTGAACGATGAAATGAAGCGTGTAGCTGAAAAGGAACGAAACTTGGACGCTCGAATTCTGGAAATTACAAGGCTGGAAGCTCGTCTACATAAGGCATTGCTGGAGCAAGAACAGAAGGGAACCCTGGAGCATCAGCAAAGCAATTACCAGAACGAACGTGAAGCTGTGCTAGAGCTCCGAGAAAGAGTATGTACAACTTTTTCGTGGGGTGTTGAGTATTAATCTGGACTAACCGAGCGTCTCTTGTTGCAGAAGTTAGCCCTATCGAAAGCTCGATTCGACGAGAAAGAGAAGCATGTGCGTACCGGTATCTCACTTCTGGTTTATAACGTATGCCTCTTCGAATGACGCTTCATTTCTCGCTTCAGCTTCAAACAAAGGAGCGCATATTGAATGAGAAAGAAGCGGAGCTTGCGGATTTTCAGGTCGAATTGAGCCGTAAAGGCCGCGAAAACGCCGAGGTTAGCACTTGATTTGGGAGTTTTCTTTCGTCTAAGCTCATGATTTTTTGTGAAGCGCGTTAAAGCTGTAGAAAATGAGTGTCGTGCTTCTTACACGAGCCGAATGGCCGATGTGGAAGATGCCCGTCGTGAGGTATGTGCGGGGTGTTGTATTTATCTAGTGTTTCAGCCACCTACATAACTTTGGTTTCTTGGCTGAAACTCGTAGCTGGAAATTCAGCAGATCCGTCTTCAGAAACGAGAAGCTGATGTTGCTTATCGAGAGAGAGCGTCAGCAGCGCAAGCACTCGCTTTAGAAGAAGTTCAACGGCAGCTTCATCAGCAGCAGATGGTGCAAGAGGACTATTTGACTCTAATCACACAGATCCAAGACAGAACCGAAGCAGCGACAGCAGATTGTGCTGATGACCACTGTTCAACGCTTGACACTGCTGTACGTCGTTCATCGCAACTTCGCCTTGCATCCAACGCTCACACCGATTTCCAATTCGTATGATGCATAGGAAAATAGCAAAAGTGACCCAACAACAAAGGACATCCAGGTGTGACTACCCGATAGGGAATAACAAGAGTTTTGACGCCACAACTAACGCCTCCCGATGGTGCTTGTACAGGATCAAATAACGCGGATGAAGCGGAAAAGCACGTTCGGCAGATTCTTCAACAAGTAGAACTTCCAACAACAATGGCACGTATTTCGCAAGCATTGGCAAGACTCTCACGCGATAGCGTTTGATTTAGTGCTCGCTAAGCTACTTGCTGAGCATTAGAGAGCGGGAAAACCCGTTCAACCTCTGGGTCTTGAATATGTACCGCAGTCTTCTCAAACCGCGCGAAGCACTCTGCGAATCGGATACAGTCTTCGCACATGGCGCGGTCCACGACAACCACAATGCGCTGCCAATAGAGCCTCCTCTGCTCTGGCGGCATATTTTGCGCTGCTAACTTCTCCCGGATGTCCATCAACTTCTGCTTCTCAGCGTGGCACCAGTAGAAGAAGAAGCTCCGACTGTTGAGCACGGGCGGTCTTGGCTCGCCGCGCTTGTTACGCTCAACAACGTAGGTGTGGCCGATGTCTTCGACGGTGTGCGCGACCGCCAAGCTCAGTCGCTTTTGAGGCAGAAAACCCGGTTCCGTGCCAAATGCGCCGAAGCCGCTCCGCGTTCGTCCTTGCAGGAGACTCTGCAGTAATGACGCATCCAGTGCAAGCTTAGGACTCTCGTCGTCCTCTTCGCAGTTTTCCCGGAGCCTGGCGAAGCTGATGGACGCCTTTGACGACTTCGTGAACTGTGCCGAGTCCGGCTGCTGGCCCAAAAAGCCCAAGTACTGCGTCACTTTGGCGACCTGCTCGGCGTGCGAGAGCTCGAAGAACGCCGCGGCCTCCGCTTCCGACAGAAAGTCCTTGAAGCTGAAGTAGCGCGGCGGCGCGGCTGTAGGTGGCGCCATCGACGGCAAGAATGGCAACTATCAAAGCGCATACAGTACAGTGACCCACAACGCGTCATGGCCAGCCATTCAAGCTCAGCCGCAACCGCAACGTATTGCTCATCAAGCTTTAGCGCAAAGTACAATACGTGGCGATGAACTCCGTACTTGCGAGTGGCGTCAGCCTCGCGATGCTACTTTCGGCAGGCTCGTGTCGTCTACAGGTTCGTCTACAGACCCGGTACTTCAACTTCTCTGACTATCGAATACCCTTTCATATCGAATAAATGTCCGAAGCCAGTTGTATCTCAACCACCTAGTATTTACTAATTCATAAGAAAAGGGAATGCAGCTATATCTAACTGAAATAAGTATGACCCCGGTACTGCCGCTCCGCTCCCAATTTGCATCACCCCAATCTTCAAGCGGCACGCATTCACGGACGCCATTCCTCAATCTTCGGCGCCGGATCCAAGCCTCGACTCTCCAATACGATGACGGGCAAGTGCGTGGGCATCGTCCGCGAGGTGTACAACAAGTGGGAGCGGCGCGCGCCGCTCACGCCCGCGCACGTCCGGGAGCTCGTGCAGCGCGGCATCCAGGTGCTGGTGCAGCCGTCCACGGCGCGCGTCTTCTCGGACGAGCAGTACGTGCGCGCGGGCGCCACTTTGTCCGAGGACCTGGCGCCCGCCAACGTCATCGTGGGCGTCAAGCAGGTGCCCGAGCCGGCGCTGCTGGCCGACAAGACGTACCTCTTCTTCAGCCACACCATCAAGGCGCAGCCGGAGAACATGGCGTTGCTGGACGCCGTGCTGCAGCGCCGCATCACGCTCGTCGACTACGAGTGCATCACAGAGGAGAGCGGCAAGCGCCTCATCGCCTTCGGGGGCAACGCCGGCCGCGCCGGTATGATCGCGGGCTTCCGGGGGCTTGGAGAGCGCCTCATCAACATGGGCGTCTCCTCGCCCTTCGTGAACGTCGCGTCCGCCTACATGTACTCGGACTTGGAGCACGCCAAGGACGCGGTGGAGGCCGCGGGCAAGAGGATCCGCTCGGACGGACTGCCGAGCGAGCTGGTGCCCATGACGTTCGCATTCACGGGCAACGGCAATGTGTCAAAGGGCGCGCAGGAGATCTTCAAGCTTATGCCCCACGAGATGGTGCATCCGTCGGAGCTGCCCAAGCTACCGAAGAACAACCGTATTCTGTACGGCACAGTGATCGACAACCCGGACTACTTCGTCAAGCCCCAGCCGGGATTCAGCGGCACACCCTCCCGCGCGCACTACTACCAGAACCCACACCAGTACGAGCCTGCTTTCCACGAGAAGGTGCTGCCCTACACGTCCATGCTGGTGAACTGCATGTACTGGGACGACCGCTTCCCGCGGCTAGTCACGCGAGAGCAGATCCGAGAGCTTCGAGGCTCTGGGAACCATAAGCTGCTGGGGATCGCGGACATTTCGTGCGATATTGGCGGCAGCGTGGAGTTCTTGGAGCGCGCCACGGAGATCGAACGACCATTCGCTCTGTACGATGTCGCTGAAGACAAGATGCGTGAGGACGGCGACAGTCGAGGCCTTGAAGGCGACGATGGCATTATGATGATGGGCGTCGATATCCTGCCGAGCGAGTTGGCGCGCGAGTCAAGCCAGCAGTTTGGTGACCGCTTGGTGGGATACGTCACGGCGCTATCGAGTGTCACTTCATCGAATGTACCTCTGCACGAGCAAAAGGAGCTGCCGGCTGAACTGCGTGGCGCTTGTATTGCCAGCAAAGGTGTTTTGGCGCCCAGGTACGAGTACATTCATCGGATGCGTGCCGAACGTGAGCGCAGCAAGCAGTTCAAGTTCCTGGATGCTCAGCAGGAGGTTGCAGGCAGCACGTGCCTGTTACTGGAAGGACACCTCTTTGATACAGGCCTCATCAACCAGGTACTGAATCTCATCGAGGACCACGATGGAGGCTTCCACCTCGTGGACTGCGAGGTCCGACCGAACATTGCAGCCGGAGACAGCGGCTTCAGCACTGTGTCGAATGCTATAGTCCAGGTTAGCATGAGTGACCGTGCTGCTTTGGACGACATTATTGCGAAGATCCGCTCCCTTGCCGATCTTACGTCTGGTGCCAAGGCCATCGTCACGGAGCTTCCCGACTTGTGCGGCACGAATTATTCGAAGACTCGTGGTGCCGTGGTGCGCAAGGATGCTGCTGCTAATACGGCGGCGGACGTGTCAGTCTCGAGCCCGAAGAAGCGACAGATCGTGTGTTTTGGCGCTGGATTAGTGGCATCCCCGCTTGTTGAGTACCTGTCTCGCGAGCAAGGCAATGAAGTGCACGTGGTGTCCGGTATCGAGGGTGAAGTGAAGGGGGTGATGCGCAAAATCTCTCGCCGTAACATTAAGCCTCACGTGGTGAACGTAGCTGAGGACGGTGCTGGCGTTGACAAGCTCTGTGCAGAAGCCGATTGTGTTGTGTCACTATTACCAGCTACAATGCACACAACCATCGCCCAGCGTTGCATCCAACATGGAACGCCTCTCGTGACTGCAAGCTACGTGTCTCCGGAGATGAAAGAGTTGGATGCCAAAGCCAAGAAAGCCGGCATTCCAATACTGTGTGAAATTGGCCTTGATCCTGGCATGGATCACATGAGCGCTATGAAGGTCATCGACGAAGTGAAGGCTCACTCCGGAAAGATCCTGTCATTTTCATCCGTGTGTGGTGGACTTCCAGCTCCTGAAGCTGCTGACAACGCCATTGGTTACAAGTTCAGCTGGAGTCCGCGCGGCGTGCTTACTGCAGCACTGAACGCGGCGCAATACCGCAAAGACGGCAAGATCGTCAACGTCGCAGGCGAAGACTTGCTTAACAGCAGCGAACCTGTGAACTTCTTGCCTGCGTTTAACATCGAGCAGATCCCGAACCGTGACTCACTGCCGTACGGCGAGATCTACGTCATTCCTGAGGCGCACTCGCTGTATCGTGGAACACTGCGCTACGGAGGTTGTTGCCGAATCCTGTACCAGCTGCGCAAGCTTGGTCTCTTTGACATGGACCCGTCCAAGCCCATTCCAGCTACGTGGCCAGACCTTATCTCCCAGCTTGGTGGACACCAAGGCCTTCGCGAAGACGCCAATGGATTCCTTCAATGGCTCGGTGCCTTCGATCACAGCACTCCCGTAGTGCGAGCCCCATCCATCCTCGACGCATTCTGCGCACTGTTGCAGGACAAGTTATCTTACCAACCTGGAGAACGTGATATGGCCATCATGCACCATGAATTCGGCATCGAGTACGAAGACGGCAAGAAGGAAAAGCGCACGTCAACGTTCGTGGGTTACGGCTCCGATAAGGGCGACACCATCATGGCTAAAACCGTTGGGTTGAGTGCAGCGATTGGTGTGCAGTTGATCTTGCAGGACGCAGTCCAAGGCCGAGGCGTGCTTACACCGACGACCCCTGACATCTACGGGCCAGCCCTCGCGCGACTTGAGGTTGAAGGTGTTCGCTTCATCGAAAAGACGTTCCCGCAGCCTTAAAATGCTGGCATGGCACTTCCGGTAGTCAGTCCCAGGAGCTAATGATCGCTTGAATTTACATGTTGTGGTGTCTATCCTATCCATTTTGCTGCTATCAGAGAACTGTTGCCGGTCGTCCATCAAACGAACTACGCTGTTGTTGAGCACCCTCGCCTCGAGCTGACGGTGCGATGTATTTCTGAGAAACGCCATCAGATGACAAGTAGAGTCTCGAAAGCGCTTTGGGGTGCGAGCTGGCGTAGCTTGTCTTGATCTGACGACCGCCAGCCTTGAGCGATGGGTAGACATTGAGTTCAAGCAGTCCGCGCATATGCTCATCAGTGTCCGATATTATCTGTGGCATGCCTCCATTCGGGCTGGATAATGCACCCAGTCCGAGATCCTGGTTTTGAGGAGTAGGGGCTGTTTCCATTCCAAGAGACGTTGTCGGGCGGCTCAGCTCAGGACAGTGAATCATAACTGAGGCCTTGCCCAGATATCGCTGCGGCATGCGGTCAGGGCCATTTCGCTGTCGTAGAATCAGTCCCTGTGGCTTCCACCGGTCTGTTTGAATCTCCGCCTCGGTGGTCTCAGGAATCGCTGAGACTTCCACGCTGCGGTTCGTCCGGCGGCGAAACTCAGCCAGAGCCTCAATCTCATCGAGCTAGCGTAATGAGAAACACATTTAGGACTGTGATAACCCAATGAATACTACTCCGCATTCAACAAACCTTATTCTGCAGGGTCTCTCTTTCCGTCTTCACCTCACCGATTGCTTTCTCCAGCTTCTCTATCCTTTGGTTACACTGCCAGTCCGTAACATCATGCTCAGTAAGTTGAAAAAAGAAAGAAGTGGACACCACCTTAGAGCAAATAAAATACCTTGTCATTCGTGCTGATCTCTTTTTGCCATGCGTTGGTCTTCTCGAACAAAAGTAGTGTAAGTCGGTTCTGGTCCTCTTGTAACTTTTCGTGCTCGCCCTTTAGGATCGTCATTTCCTCCCCTTGTATCCTGAACCTCATCGTGTACTCATTGAGGTCGTCCGTTGTTTGTTTCTACGCAGTAGGCGCACAAAACTACAACAGTTAGTAGCTAAATCCCTTTTCGCATCGTTTTGACATCGTACCAGCGTCCTTTCCAGTTTCCCAAGAGTATTCTTCCCCATCTCGACTGTCAGACGGAGTTTTGCGATTTCTGCCTCAAGTGTTCGGATATGGAGTTGATCGGAGTCGATCTTGTTCTCAGCCTGGTCGAGGTCCTCGCGCATCCGCTCAAAGCTTCCTCGCATCTTTTGCATCTCGACAGCGATAAGCTCGGCCCGATTGTGACACATGATCGAGAATTTCTTCATCGCCTTATCCATCAGCACCTTTCGACGCACTTCACGCTTTTTACGTTGTAGCTCCATCATCTGCATGCCGCCTTCAGCACCACTGAAGTCGTTGGGGTCATCGGAGGGAATCACGTCCAGCTCAAGCTCCAGGATGAGCGCCTTGTTGTCGCTGACTTCATGCACGGACTGAGACACCTGGCGTAGAAATGTCATCAGAATGACGCTTCTTTCAACCTCATACTGTTGGTCTCGCTTGCCCTCGTCGATTTGCCGCATCATTGCTTCCATCATCTCAGCTGCACCTGCGCTATCCTGGTTTAACCGCATCTTCAATGCGTTCACACTGTCATTTCGTGCACAAGAAGTCAGTTTTCAGTCTGCCCACACAGCACGGTGTTGTTTACATTTTACCTGCCAGTTAGAGCCTCAATGGACAACTTGGACTCTTCAAGACGATCCGTGAGCACATGATTCTTCCGTTCCAGCTCCTGTAAGCGCAGTTACATTATATGGAGAGCGTGTCAAAACTCGATCGTCCAGTGCTATTACTGTTCTTGAATCGCCATGGCAATTGCTACGTACCGTGATGACTTTCTGCTGTTTAGCGATTTTGTCCTTGCCTTCTTTCACTTCGGTTAGCATACGCGACACTTCCTTGTGATACGCCTCGAAGTTCTTTTCATTGATCTCCAATGCCTCCTGTGACTCATCTTCTTCTTTCAACGAAGACTCCGATACTTCAGACTCACCCTGTGAACCATGCACAGGTTTCTTACTTGGTCGACCAGCCTCTTTTTCGGTCGTGTTGCGCGTTGCGTCCTCTGTAGTCCCAGCCGTCTCTGAAGCTGAACCTGTGGAACGAGCCTCTTCGTCTTCAGGGATCGCTACACGGGTGATGACAGTTTTGCTTGGCATCCTACTTAGGACCCGCTTCAGGCCAGGTACCTTGGCGGCTGCTACGCTTGGGTTGCGCGCCAGCATCCCAGCTAAATCGTTCTCGCGCATTAGGGCCCATTCCAGTTGACATTGTAGATCATCTAGCTTCTTGCGCATGTTGTTGCGCATTGCCATCGCCTGGTTCGCAGCTGCTGGGCGTTGCCCGCGCTCCTTCTTTGAGCTGGTGCTCTCTTGCTTCTCCGAGATTTCAGCATCGTCGCCCATGGAAGGCATATCCATGTCCATTGAGTGACTGTGCAAGTTCTCCAAGTCTCGCACAAGCTTCTTGTTTAAACGTCGAAATTCTAAGTTTTGCTCTTGCATCTCCTCCCGTGCGCGCTCTTCTTCAATAAGTTGATCTTCAAGATGCCGCTTGGTCTGTTCAAAGCGCTGTAGCGTCGATACTAGCTCCTCTTTGAGAGATGTTAGCGATTGCTGTTGCTCAGTACAAAGCGCAACTTTCTCCTTGAGCTGTTCATCACGAGCTGCGAGATCCACAGCCAGCTGCTTAGCTTTCTTCGTCTCTTCCTGGAGGCGGTAGTCTGCGAAGGCAATGACGTACACTATGTCAGACAAGCTCATCGCTATCATGCTCTCCACCCTCATCTCAACGTACAGTTAGTGCCAAAGTCTGACTCAATTTGAGCCTTCTCAACCTTTACCACATGCAAAGCCTTTGTAACCTCAGCAAGCTCTTCTTTCAGGTGGTTGTTTGAGGCTGAGAAAATATCGCGATCGTGGTTCGACCGGATGAGCTGTTGCTTCACATCCTTGTACTCGCTTGCGAGGCGATCGATCTCGTCTTGTGTAGCTTGAGTGAGCTGTAGTTTGGAGCGCATGCCTGCAATGATGACCTTCTGCTCGCGCTCCATTTTCCGCGCGGCTTGCAATTGCTCGAGCGTGTACGCATTTTCTTTCATCAGCGCCTTCACGCGTTGCTGTAGCGCGTCATTAACTTCTTCCATCTGCTTGGCCTCAGAGCGCATTCGATGCACCACGGTTCGCATTTGTTGCTCTCCTTTCGATGCTCGAGCCATCTCTTGCCTAGCAGCCTTGAGTTCTTTGCTCTGTATCGTACAATAGCCACAATATCTTAACAAATAATTATTTGAAAGCAAGTCACTCCAACTAGTCGCGTACCTCCCCATGAACGAGCTCAAGGTGGCCGCCGCAGGTCTCACAAGGGTGTACTTGCAGCATAGTTTCGCTTGGTGCAAACAGGGGCAGCGCCTCGCGTAAATCCACTGAAGGCACGCTAGAAAGCCCGCCGTCATTCGATACAGGTGCTCCAATCTGACGGGATGGCGTTCGTTGCAGCTTTGGCATCTCTCCTCGCAATGACGCCGCTGAACCTGCGTGACCCAACTTCCCTCCATATTGACGCAGCTCCTCCTTAATAATGATCACATCACGGTAGTACGCTCGCCTGATAACCTCGAGCACTTGGTTTCGACGGGAGAGCTTACCACGCAGCATTTCAAGCTGCAACTGCAGCGGTAGATCCTTCGAAAGAACTCCATCATCGATCTCTGCTGCCCCACCAAGCGGGTCGATGGGTTTCGAAGGACTATCTTCCTCTAGCCCCGCCGACATGGGCCTCTCTCCATCGTCCATTTTTCTGTCATCTTCGCCGACTCGGGATACTTGGAGCAGGTGCGATGCCGACCCGTCCCTCGTGAAGGGAACTCCATCATGTGCCATCATCGCTCGCCTCGCTCTGCCACGTCAGTATTCACAGCTCAATCCTGCTCACGCTATAATTACATGCATCTTGCGTTTCAAGGGCAGAATGTCGGTCGATACAAACCTACAAGTACGCACACGATAGTAGGCAATGTCGGGCGAAATCATAAACTTGAGCGAACTCGTGATGTTGTTTGTCTTTGCTGTGTACGGTTGACCTCGCCCTCCATGTTGGTTGGCACACAAAATATAAACGTTGGAGTCGGTGTTATGCTGTGCTTTCAGATGCACAGCCATCCAGTACTTCACTCTGCATGCGCACCTGACATCGCTATCAGAGTGGGCTCGGCATCACTGTGCGCGTTTACGGATTTTGTGGCTGGTTGCCACGAATGGTGAAGCCAGTCGTGTTGACCGGGTCGACTGGGGGCGGATTGGCACTGAATCCCGCCATTATTCCCGAGATCTCGTCACTCGCTTGTTGCGCATCAGCCAATTGCTGGAGCTCAGATACTTCGTTGGTCCCCATGGCCTCCGCTTGCTTCGTTGGCTCGTGATCCATAGCAAGGGCTGGAGTCTCTTGTTGCATAGCGACTGCTGGTGAAACTTGTTCCATAGCGAGCGTTGGGGTCTCTTGTTGCATGGCAATTGCCGGCGCCTCTTGTTCCATAGCGACCGGAGGCTCGAGGTCCATAGCGACTGCCGGAGCCTCAAGATCATCTGCCGGTGGGTGAATTGAATAGCCCGCAGCACCTGCGGCATACGCCCGGTCCAACTCGGGATTTTGTCGGAACGGAGGAGGGCCAGCAGGCGGAAGTGGGGGCTCGTCAGGCCGTGGAATCGCCTGGACACTTTGGTACGTGTCTGCACCCCCTTCCTTCGTCTCCTCATCTCCACCCTTCGTTTCTTCATCGCTGTCATTCTGTGACAGCGCGCTGTGACGTCCGCTTGACGTGCTCCTACGTGCTGTACGCCGCGGGATACTATCATCCACGCTTTCGGCATCAGCATCATCTTGGTCATCATCATCTCCAGCACCATCTCCATGGGGTCCAGAACTCGTGCGCCGTGCAGCGGCACGTGAGTTACGACTCGAGGCAGAAGAGAGCTGCGAAGTAGGCACCGTAGCGGTAGCCTTGCGCGCCTTACGCGGCGCTTTCTTCTCCTCGTAGTGCGTAGCGAAGTCGGGGAAGTTATCAACGACATCATCGCTCACCTCGATTCCAATCTCATTGAGGTTCTCCCAGAACGTCTTCTTGGTCGAATTCAGCACACCAAGCTCGCTACCGCATTCTTCCAGATCCTGCTCCAAGCTTGCGATCTCATTCTCCAGCTTTTCCTTGTCGCCGTCCGAAGCCTTCTTCAGCTCGGACTGTTTGCCTTCCAGCTCCGTCTTGACCGCCGCGATCTGCTGCTCCTTCATGTCCAGTTTGTGCATCGTCTCACGAAGTAAGATCCGGTTTTTAAACTCGCATTGCGGGTTCTGGCAGCGGTCGGTGTGCGCCTCGACGTCGTGCCAGATGCGACACATCTTGTTCTTGCACGGCGTGGAGCTGCTGCACATCTGCGCGCGGATTTTCTTGCACCCGCGTCCGCACACCTTGCCGGTAGGAGGCTTACACAGCAGCGCGTCAACAAACTGGATTGACTTACGCAGTCGCTCCTTAAAGAACTTGGTCTCTGACGGCGTGCGTCGGTCCGGGTAGCACAGCTCTCCAATGGCGTCCTTAAAGGACAGCAGCTCGTCATCATCGTTCTCTTCCTCCACTTCCTGCTTCTTCTTCTTCACAGGCTTCACTTCCTCCTCCACCTCCTCCTCCTCGACTGGCTCCTCCTCCTTCACCGCATCTTCTTCTTCTTCTTCGTCCTCCGACGTATCGTGAATCACCTTCCTGGCCGCACGACGCGGTCTCTTCACAGGCTGCGCGTCGTGCACACTGCTTCTCGTGGTTCTCTTGCTACCTGACGCGCTGCGCGTGGGCATGGCGGGCGACTCCGTGGACGCGCGTGCAGCCATCCTGGTCGTGGTCGACGAAGACGACGACAGCTCCCGCTTGATCTTCTTCTTGGCCGCGCGCGCGGAGCTCGGTCGACTGCTGCTGCTACTGCTGCTGCTGCTCTTCTTGCTACTGCGCGTCTTCCGCTCGGGAGGCGGCGGCGCGTCCCCGCGCGGGTGGAACCACAGCTCCTTGGTCACGACGGAGCTCAGCACGCGCTCCGTGGCGCCGCTGTGGCAGGCCAGGATGATGCGGTCCATCTGCTCGCTGAAGCCCGGCGACGCCTCCATGTTCTGCTGGATGTAGTCCACCAGGCGGCGGCAGTTGTTGTAGTACTGGTCGTAGCCCGCGCTCTCCTCGACGGGGGCGGCGACGGCGACGGCCGCAGCGGCCTGCGCGTCCAGCGCCTGCTGGTAGCTCTCGCACACGGAGCTCACGGCCTCCGCCACGCTGTCCTTGAGCGAGCGCGTGAGCGCCGCCTGGAGCTGGTCCACGGCCGAGCCCCCGCGCCGAGCCTTGGAGCTGCTGCGCTTCACCATCGTTTGTTCCCTGATGGCGCGAACGACTTTAGCCTTGACAGGGAACAACTATGGCCGAGACGCAACAGTTATGATGTTAAGAACACATTCGGTTAGATATTTTTTTGCAGCGTTTGGTGTGGCGCACATTTGTACATCTTGACTTCAACCAGTCAGTTGAAGACTTCAACGTTGATTAATTCCTAGGAAGACGACCATGACGGGTTTAGGCACACTTCGCCATCAAAAGTGATCGCTGCAGTCCAAACGGTGTTGGCGCAGGTTGAGGTCGCTACGCGAGGTTTAGTGCGATGGGAAGCGGCAATGTATAGAGCCCACGAACGCGTCAGTCCATCGTCCATGGTAGCCATCGTCAGCTTCGAGAGAGCGTCCTCTTGATTGATCGCCGCCTCGTTCACAAGTAGAAGCGACAGCCACGCGTTCGTGGTATCTGCTCCCGTGACAATCGCCTCCTTTGACAAAATGTCGTCCCATTCCTCTTGGATGAACTTTGCCGTCCGCACCAGTCCGTTGATCGGCGACACCGGGATCATCTGGATGCCGTGGATGCAGTACTTCTCGGCGCTGAACCACGTCGCGTAGTCCGCCTTGTTGTCGAAGAAAATGCCCGTGACGTGGTTGGGCACGAACTGAGGCGGATGGATCGTGTTGTCCGACGTCATGAGGAAGTAAGTGCGCACGGCGCGAGCGTTCAGGCGCAACATGAGGCTGCCCAGGTCTTCCACAGCTTGGTTCTGGGTCACTTTGCCCCACAGCATCATGCCGTAGTAGAAGTTCACGTCCTCCGACGTACTCTCTTCGTCCTTGCCGTCAGCCATGGGCGTCACGCCGTGCGAGTACGAGTGGCCGAGGTACCAGGAAAAATGGCGGAATCTCGGGAAGTACTCGTCGTCCGAGCTTGGGTTGGCGACGTCGCGCAGCAATGTCCACACCATGGTCTCGAGCTGGGCCATGCCTGACCACGATGGATCCAGTTTTTTGAGAATGGCCGACGCTGTCACCCAGTAGCCGTAGTGGTAGTGGTGGTCGTTGTATACACCATTCCCGAAGTCAACGTTAATATCTCCCGTCGAAAATGCGAGGCTAGTGACAATACCTTTGTACGTCGTCTCATACACCAACGGCGAGCTGAGAGTGTTGGTGAGAAAAGGCTCAATGAGGGCTTCCAACTTGGACAAACATCGTCGAAGCAAAGACCTGCTAGAGCCTACTATGGCCCTGTCAGCGGCCATCAAACACAGCGATGCGTACTTCTGGTATGCTTTTCCACTGAAGTACCAACTGCCTGTGTCCAGCGCCCACGAGCTATCGATGTCACTCTGCAGCGTCGACAGAAGACCGATCTGCGAAACCACGTCGGCTGACAGCTTGCTCGCAGGATAGAAATCTACTTCGTCGTCCGCCTCGGGCTCCGAAAGCGTCCAGCTCCCAGACGTGGTCACCTGGCCCACCATTAGGCCGCGAGTGCTTGAGTGCAGAACGATGGCCCCGCTCAACTGTGTCGTGGTAGGGTTGTCCATGGCGTCCAGGTGATGAGGAAGCGCAAAATGAAGGAGACCCGAACTATCGCACCCGCTGCCTCCCGTCTCCCAGTCCAGCGAGTAACTCGTCCGAGACTGCACCGACACGTCTCCACCGCGCACGACGCACGAGGCGTAGTCGTCGTACACATTTTGGTCGCCGCTCTCGGGGAGAACCGCTAAGCGAACCGTGCCCGTGTAGCCTGCCGCTGCTGTCAAAGCCGACCCAGTGCTGTCGACTGAGAAGGTCACACTTGGGTCGCTGGCGAAGGCCACCCACGTCTGGTTGTTCGCAAGCCGCACCACGTACTTGCCCGGCGTCGAGCTGTCCAGCAGCGTCATGGCGTAGTCCGACTCGATGCGCGGCGTTAAGCCTGCGTACGCCGCCGACACGAAGGCCATGCCGTGCACGAGCGCCGAGTCCATGCAGTTGAAGCTATCACTGTCGCTGCTGCCGGCCACACAGGTCCGCAGCGCGACGCCCATGTCGCTGAACGAATAGATCTCGTAGTCGGGCTTGGTCGACCCGAACTCGCTGGCCGATAGAGTCACGTCGTTGTGGAACTCGTGCAGGTAGTACCTTATGACGCCGTCCACCTCGTCGGCCAGTTGGCGATACGTGTAGGAGTAGCATGCCTGGAGTCCGAAGGGAGCTTGCTTGGGCAGCTTGAGCGCGTACGGGTTGGACCACGCCGGGTTGGCGACGGAGTCGACGTCTTCGTTGGTGGTGTGAATGAGGTTCCCCCACCACTTGTTGGTGGGAATGGGCTGGGCGTTAAGGGCTTCGGCGACGTTGATGATGGGGGCTAGAGCGGCGAGTCCGTCCTTGCGTTGGAAGAGCTTTTCGGATGGAGCGTCGGTGGAAAACGGACTTAGATATCCTGGCAGGATGGTGTCTGGTGCGTTGCCAGCACTGACGGTTGATTCATCGGCGTAGAGAAGAACGCGGGCTAACAGCGCGCTAGCTGCTAATAGCAGTTGTCGGATCATGGGCTGGAAAGGTGGCAAAGTGGATATGCTGCAGCGGGAAATGCTTGTCAAAATATGATTTTTGCTGGACACTGGTAAGTTACCTGAATAGAGGACCCTCCATGTCAACTGAGGTGACAACTGTGGGGAGAGTACTGAGTGGCGGTTACGGTGCATGAGTGACGAGGACAGCTAACATGTGAAAGGTGCTTTGGGATGAATTGCGCGCGTGCGAATTGCCTCGATTCCATCGAGTACGCTGTAGCCGACAGCTGCCACATTGCACTGGTCGAATCTGCCTCAATGATCCCGGATCAGATGGCTTCATCCAAAGTTTTGAGCCGGTGTCCATGTTTTCGACGTGCGAACCCCGCCAGGCTGGCGCCAATTTGCGTTGACGGTCACCCGGCGACTTTGCTGCTGTCTTGCAGGCCAGCCCCTTTGAAGAGGTACGCGGACAAATTGGCGCTAATACAGTAAGCTTAATGCCGCCGCGTCGTCAATGCACGAGATACGAAGTGAGCAGCTCGGTGCCACAGCCCAGGATAAATCCCGCCAGCAAAAGGGCGTTGCAGCAACAATCACGTGAAGGACAAGTGTGTGCTTGATATCGAGTTTCGCCCGCACAACAAGCAAGCGACCGCAAAATGCAACCACGTTCTTCGTTTTCTCGCTCTTCGACGACTCGCGTTTGCGAGCTGCATTTGCAGTGTAAATGCATCTAAAACTAAAGCGGCCACTACGTACAGTATACGTTTGCAGCTTCCGACCGGGTTGATCCCAAAGCGCGAATTCGAGTCGCTGTACCCTTTCAGATCAGGCAGGCGGATCCCGGGAACTGCGACCAGGACTTGCAAAGCTGCGTCCGCAACATCTGTCGGACTAACTAAGTGTCCACACTTGTGTCAGTTGAACCGCGCTCAAGCTCCAACGAGCTTGTTCGGGTTGTTGGCGCACGAAATGCTACATGGTTCGATGACGTTCAACAATGAATGGAGAGAGGCCAGGTGATTTGAAGCTTGGTCGTTGTTATCTGACGACCCTATGCAAGTTTTTGCGCGTATTCCGATCCGCTTTCTCTCACGAGCGCACACGCACCAGCCAGTGCCTTTGGCCTCCATTGAGTCCAGCGCGTCAGTCGAGCTGTGCGCGTAGCTATGAAGTCTGCGGCGCGGCTGTGGATCTCAGTGACGGCGACTCTAACATGCACGGTCTCAGCAGATTTTGGAGGCTCCCTTGCTGACAATTCTTACAGGGAGGGCACCGTACACGCAGCAGATCAAGTTCAAGAGTCAAGTAGCGAATACCTTTCGGCATTCTCTACAGAATCACCGTCCGAAACGCTCTTCCAACGCAAGGACGGACTCGCCGCTCTAGCCCCCATCATCAACGTCGCCGAAGCCCTTAACGCCCAGCCCATTCCCACCAACAAGTGGTGGGGGAACCTCATTCACACCACCAACGAAGACGTCGACTCCGTCGCCAACCCGGCGTGGTCCAACCCGTACGCGCTCAAGCTGCCCAAGCAAGCTCCCTTCGGACTCCAGGCATGCTACTCCTACACGTATCGCCAACTGGCCGACGAGGTGGACGGCGTCATAAGGTACTACCTGCACGAGTTCCACAACGACGTGACTCTATCGGCCAGCGAGTTCGGGTCGACCAAGCCCGACTACGAGATCTATTCGTTCAGCGACATGGGCGTCGCGCTGCGGACCTGTGTGGCCGGCAGCAGCGACAGTGATAGCTTCAACTGCATGGACTCGGCGCTCGTGCACGGCATGGCCTTCGTGTCGGCGGCGTACGCAGGCTTAACGCCCCGCATCGAGTCGGACTACGCCATGACGCTGCTGGACAGCTCGACGCCGGGCAAGTACGTGGTGCGGCTCGCGAACAACCAGACGTGGGTGGCCTTCGCCAGCGACCCAAGTGTGACCTTCTCAGTCGAAAGCACTGGGTCGGCTTTGACAGCAGCGGCAGGCTACACGGGCACGGTTCGCTTAGCGGTTCTCCCCGAGAGCGGCGACCAAAATGTGTACGACGACTACGCCTCGTGCGTCGTGCGCGGTGGAGACGTGTCGGTGCAGTCTCGGACGAGTTACTCGCTGGACTGGGAGACGGGAGGCAGCGGGTGCGATAGTTCGGGTCTCCTTCATTTTGCGCTTCCTCATCACCTGGACGCCATAGACAACCCCACCACGACACAGTTGAGCGGGGCCATCGTTCTGCACTCAAGCACTCGCGGCCTAATGGTGGGCCAGGTGACCACGTCTGGGAGCTGGACGCTTTCGGAGCCCGAGGCGGACGACGAAGTAGATTTCTACCCTGCGAGCAAGCCGTCGGCTGACGTGGTTTCGCAGATCGGTCTACTGTCGACGCTGCAGAGTGACATTGAGAGCACGTGGACGCTGGACACAGGTAGCTGGTACTACAACGGCAAGGAGTATCAGAAGTACGCATCGCTGTGTTTGATGGCTGCAGATAGCTCGGTGGTTGGCGATGATACTACATTGCTGAAAAGTTGCCTATCGAAACTGGAGACGCTCATTGAGCCTTTCTTGAACAACACCGTCAGCGTGCCGCTGGTATACGAGACGACTTACAACGGAATCGTGACAAGCCAAGTGTTCACTAGCGATGACGTTAACGTAGAGTTTGGAAACGGAGTGTACAACGACCACCACTACCACTACGGCTACTGGGTGACAGCGTCGGCCATTCTCAAAAAACTGGATCCATCGTGGTCAGGCATGGCCCAGCTCGAGACCATGGTGTGGACATTGCTGCGCGACGTCGCCAATCCAAGCTCGGACGACGAGTACTTCCCGAGATTCCGCCATTTTTCCTGGTACCTCGGCCACTCGTACTCGCACGGCGTGACGCCCATGGCTGACGGCAAGGACGAAGAGAGTACGTCGGAGGACGTGAACTTCTACTACGGCATGATGCTGTGGGGCAAAGTGACCCAGAACCAAGCTGTGGAAGACCTGGGCAGCCTCATGTTGCGCCTGAACGCTCGCGCCGTGCGCACTTACTTCCTCATGACGTCGGACAACACGATCCATCCGCCTCAGTTCGTGCCCAACCACGTCACGGGCATTTTCTTCGACAACAAGGCGGACTACGCGACGTGGTTCAGCGCCGAGAAGTACTGCATCCACGGCATCCAGATGATCCCGGTGTCGCCGATCAACGGACTGGTGCGGACGGCAAAGTTCATCCAACAGGAATGGGACGACATTTTGTCGAAGGAGGCGATTGTCACGGGAGCAGATACCACGAACGCGTGGCTGTCGCTTCTACTTGTGAACGAGGCGGCGATCAATCAAGAGGACGCTCTCTCGAAGCTGGTGACGGCTACCATGGACGATGGACTGACGCGTTCGTGGGCCCTGTACAATGCTGCATCACGTGGTGGCACTGCATCGACTAGCAGTGCGACCAAACTAGTCACTTTACCTCCGAGTTCGACAGCGGCAAGACCGAGCACTACTACCGCTGCACCGGACGCTACACCTGGTACTCGAGCTCCTATGGTGACTAGTGCGACACCGACCGTCACTATAGCTCCAACTGCGGCCCCAGTTGCTACCCCCTTAGCACCAACGTCGACGCCTGAGGTTGCAACCGTGTCTCCGATGTCTCAAACAGAGACTATTACGAAAGATCCGGCTACCGCTGCTCCGTCGACAACTGCCTTGCCAACTGCAACACCCAGCCCGACAGCAACCATTCCAGCTACCACAGCGCCCGAGGCAACTGACGCTACGCATTATCCTGGATGGACATCGATTCCTCCTGGTTGGACCTCGATTCCGCCGGGATGGACTTCGATCCCACCTGGATGGACTTCATACACGCCTGGCGTTGTTGTACCTGCAGATACGTCAACGTCTGCTTCAACTGCCGCACCCGCACAAATGGACCCCACCCAGTCTGCAACGCAGAACTAAGCCACAGTCGTTCTGGCTTCTGCAAGCTGATCTTTGTTTTATGTGTTACAGTATCGAGTTTTGGCCAGTGAGTACATGTAGTAAATCACGTAGAGAAGCTATCCATGCGTGCTGCTTTCATGGTCTTGTTAACTTTTTGACTACCGGGCTTAATGAATGTCATAGTCCATAGTTCCTAAAAAAACTAAAGACAGCTCGGAAGGGTTAAAAGCCAACACGAATGTAAATCTGTACGGAGTTCATTAAGATCGTTGGGTGCGGATCGTGCTCACTTGGACAGTGGCAGTAATCGTCGCACTTTTGAGCTGACCGGTTTTTTTTGCCGTGCAGTATGGTTAACATTGCATGATTCTGCCATGACTACGACAACAATGAACGTATATCGTAATCGAAACCCACTTCAAGAATACACTCACGTCACGAGAGCAAGGTAAGAAACATATCTCCAGTGTTCTAAATCGCGTTGCAATAAGTTATCAGGCGTTCTATTCAGCACCAGTGTGTCTTCGCTCGTATACGGTACATATCGATGCAAGCACGCAAATATTGCATCAAGTTGTATGTACGTACCAACACCACAGATTTCACCTTGCATTTGCACCTTTGGATTACATGAACCAAGTGTAAACTGTATACGGACAGCGTCCCGCAATCCATTATTCCGTTAGATTGCCGACAGATGGAGGAACCTACTCGGATGTGTTTGCCTGCAGAAGAAGGCTTGGAATGATGAAGGTAGGCAATGCAATGATTTACGTGCTCGCGTAGCCAAATTACACCTGCGCTAGTCTCAGTTTAGCTAGTCGGTGGCATAGTGTGGTGTCCGCATACGTCGAGTCTCCTTTGGCTGGCAGTGAGTCAGCAATGGTAGTCATGAGGGCCTTCCATTTATGTCGGTCTTGGGCAAGCAGTCGAAGTATCTCCAAGTCTGAGCTGGTGCGGAGGCGGTAGCCACACCCACTAGCATCAAGGTCCTGGTCGAGGACAAGAGGCAGTGTGGTGCGGGGCCTACCTCTCCACTTGCTGCTGTCGGAGGAAGAGAAATACGCCTTCATCTGGATAAACGCCGGGATATCTTGTAGTCGCCGTAGAATGTGCCCGAGAAGCCCCCACCTCGCAGATGTGATCCAGTGACGGAGCGGCCGCTCGTCGCACGTTGCGTAGAGATCAGCGTTGGAGATGTACGCACATTGAGGACAGACCGTAGCTGGCGACGGTGAAAGCTTTCGAGTCGGTGAAGCTCCGTTGGTGTAAGCGCCCAGGCCCCGCAGTTGTAGAGTAGTATCGGCAGTACGTAGCAGTTGTGGAGGCGAATTCGTGTCGTGTCTGTGATACGGTGCGATCTCAGCCAGACCGTCCAGAGCCGCCGAAGAGCAGCCGCAGCGAGTATTTTCCGACGCGATACGTCATCGGCATCTTCGAGCAACGAGCCAAGCTTCCGCGTAGACCTCCATGCTTCTTTCTCTGCACGAGCGTGGGGGTCGGCACTGGCCGGTGTCAGGCAGCGGCGGAGAATTGTGTGCTCCGTCTTTGCCGCGTTCATTTGAAGCGACCAGCGCGCGAATACTTCCGGGGCATGGGTCTGGATGAGCTCGACGAGGGCGGGGTCCCGACAGATAAAGTCGGCATCGTCCGCATACACGATCATTTGCTGGAGCAGGTCCGGCGGCATTGCAGGGTGACTAGCTAGATCTCTAAGTGCTGCTTCTAGGTAGATAACAAATAATGCTGGTGAGAGTGAGTCGCCCTGTGGCGTACCTGTGTTGCTGCCGACTGGTTGCAGGATCTGGTGGCCGATGCGGAGTGAAAGCGTTGTGTCGGATAGTAAGAGTATAATCAGCCGGATTTCGTCGTCGCGTAGAAACAGCTGTAGAACTTTGAGGAGTTTGGCACGGTCGATCGTGTCGAACGCGCGCGAGAAGTCGATACCCAGTACATGAACGATTTCGCGATACTTTTGTACCCGTGCGCACAGCCACTTGTGGGCCCACACCGCGTCAGCCGTACTGCGGCTCTTGCGGAAGCCACTTTGGTGGCCTGAGAGAAACTTGTCGACCGCGGGTGTGATGCGGCGTAGAACGATGAGTGACACCACTTTGCGAATAGTGTTCAGGAGAACTATCGGGCGTAGGCTTGAACACTGTCCTCGTGGCTTGTTCGGCTTCTGGAGACACAGCAGGATACCTTGGCCCAGTGGGATGGGTTCACCGCGTTCGAAGCTGTGGTTTAGTAGATGTGCGAGTCGTGGAGCAACGTCAGCAGCGGCATACTTGAGTAGTTCACCAGGAATAGCATCGGGGCCAGCAGCACGACCGTTGTTCAGTCAAAGGAGGGCACCACGGACTTCGTCCGGCGTGATTGGGCAGTCGAGGGGTTGAGCTGTTGGGTCTGGCGATACTTGAGCTTGATCTGGATTTAGAAACTGTTCTTGGAAGTGATCTCGGACAATTTTGTTAGCTGTGTTTCTGTGAAGTATATACTTACCTGATGAGTCTTGAATTAGAAGCTGCTGTGTCGGTTTGCGGGCGAGATCGCGGACGGCAACGAACATTTTGAGAGTCGCTTGAAGCCTCGATGCGTGAAACCTTTTCGTCGAGGGCCATGTTAGCGAGGTCACAGCAGCGAGTGCGGATCTGGTCTAGGATCTTGTTTCGCTGAGAGCGCAGCAGCGCTGTGTTGGCCGATGTGTCGTTGTAAATGCGGAGCCGGAGCTGGCGTTGTTGCTCGGACAGCGCGGCGAGCAGCGGATCGTCGTAGCTGCGGCAGCGTCGTTGATCCGGCGAAGAAAACCCGATGGTCTGCGATGCTGCTTCGTGTAGCTTCGCAAAAGTGTCCTCCCATTGCAGGTTGATAGTGGATCCATCGTCAGCGTCTGCGGGGGGTAGGATCCGCTTAACGGCTGATGCGTAAGCGGTTCTGGAGTCGTCGTTGTGAACTAACTCGCTGCGTGTGAGGTGAACAGTTGTGCCGCTTGTGCGACGCGACGGAAACCGGAGGCGACGGATGTGCTTGAGCTCAAAGTCCGCGGTGACGATCTTGTGGTCGGACGGGGTGATGGCCCCACCCCAGGACTGGGCATCTAGACAGAACCGTCTATAACTCTGAGGGCAGAGTACGTAGTCGATTTGATTGTAGACAGAGTGTGTCCGCTTGCGCTGGCTCCAGGTGGTCTTGTTTTTCGCTCGCTTGGGAAAGGCTGTATTGGTAGCAAAGAGTTGATAAGTATCACAAAAGGCAGCCATGAGGTGCCCGTTCCGGTTACGCGTGCCTCGTGCATGAGGCCCGAGAAACGTTTCTCCGGTTGTTTTCTGCCCGCGTTTTGCGTTAAAGTCTCCGGTAATCATGGTGATATCTCTGCGGGGGAATTGGTCCATGGCTGCTCGAAGGTCTGCGTAGAAAGCATCTACTTCTGTTAGTGGGCGCCCGCTGTGTGGAGCGTAGGCCGTGACGATGTTGATGGGTCCTGTGTTAGGTAGCCGCATCTGCAAGATGCCGATACGGTCGCTGTGAGCCCAGCACCGACGGAGGTAAGGAGTAACGCGAGGAGAGATGGCAAATCCAACTCCGTAGCGCTCTTCCTGTGCCGGCAACGTTAGTAGTAAGTAGTCTCCGACCTCAAAGCGCCCCAGCTCATACAGCTTGGTCTCTTGGAGGCCAAGGATATCGATCTGGTAGCGGCGCAGGTCTTGGGGAAGCGTTTCAAACTGCTTGTATAGCGAACCTAGGGACTGCACATTGAACGAGCCTATTCTAAGGCGGTTAGTGCGGTCATTGCGGTTAGGGCGATACGGAAGGGGGGTTGTGACGGGTAGTACTGCTGGTGAAGGTGGCTGCCAAAGGGAGAGACTCGCAAGGGACTTGCAGACGCCCGAGAGCGCCTGCCGGAAGCCCGTGAGCGGCATTCGCCGCCGTCCACGCGTTCCGGGGGAGGGCGTCACCCCAACCCAATCAAAAAATGAAGGTAGGCATTGTAAGCATTGCATATGTATACGGCGACGTGCACTGTATCTGGCCTCAAGTCTGCTGGATAGTCTACGTTAACCTATCTCGTTGTAACACGTTGTCTTCATTCCAGTTTTTGACTTGTCGAGCGCAGAACTCGATAGCACTCCACTCTACCTGCGCAATCACACTCTTCCAAGACTCGATGGTCTCCTGTCGCTCGGCTGCTGCCTCAGTTCTGCTCGTCGCAGCTTCGGTTCTGGCCCAAGCGACAGCACAGTCGACGTGTACGTTGAGTGACTCCGAAGTCTGCGCGGTGGAAAGCTTCACCTCGCTCTCCAGCGATGGCAGCGTGCTCGTCTACCCTGGAGGCAATACGCGCTGCGCTTTCGATGACTACACGGACTCAGTGACCGGTTTCATAACGAACTCCACGTACTTCTTCCAGGTGTTCCCGAACACGAACCACGACAAGTCCAAGCTGATGGTTTTCTTCCAGGGTGGTGGTGGCTGTACGGATGACAACACGTGTGCCTTTGGTTTGGAGTGCTCGCTAGCTGAGAACGCTTTATTCACGACAGTTGCCACTGTACAAGGGGCCGGAGTGATTGACCGCTCCATGGTGGACAACATGTTCCGAGACTGGAACGTAGTCTTCGTCCCTTACTGCACTGGTGACGTTCACATCGGCAACAAGGTGTTCCCGGCGTTCGAGAGCGGCATCGAGAAGAGTTTGGGCAACCCGCAGTGTCTCGGGAAGGACTTTCCGATGCATATGAACGGGTACAATAACTCCAAATCGGCTCTGGATTGAACACACCAAAACTTCCCCGACGTTGAAAACCTGGTCGTCGGAGGTGCAAGTGCTGGTTCACTGGCCGCGCAGTTCTTTAGTGCTCAAATTACGGACATGTGGAATGTTGAGGCCAGGAGCACGCGATTCTCAGTTATGACAGACAGTTACGTCGGGTTTTTGCCAGAGAGCCGCCAAGTGCCAGCGCTGTTGCAATACTTCGGGGCGTGTGAGAACGGTTTAGCTTTCCCCCCGGATATTGCGGCAGTATGCAATGCGAGAAACGCCTCAGTGATTGATCTAGTGGATGCGCTTATTGAGGACCGACCTGAGTCCAAGTGGCTGTTCGTGAACAGCAAAGGTGACGAAGTCCAGCGGTACTACTACGCACTGGTCGGGGAGGGTATCCAGGGTATATATCCCACCCCCAATTTGATGTCGGAGGAGGAGCTTTACAATAACATGTCGGCAATTTTGGGCGCGTACCAAACCGTGAGCCCGCACATTTTCACGTTTTACGTTGAAGGCGATCACCATGTGTTTCTCATGGACAAGAATTTCACGAGCTATAAGAGCGACGAAGGTTTACTTCTCGGCGACATCATCAACGAATGGCTGAAATCGAATTCCAATCTGGCCGCAGCTCCCCCTGCGTACTAGGTGAAAAGACTGCGGGCAGCTGCAATTGCTGCAATGGCAAACGAATACACCTCGTGGATATCTCTGGCTTTCGACTGTGACAATGCCGCCAGGTAGCAGAGGCAAAGCGATCGGGTACACAAGTACCTGTTAATTAACCGTTTACGCTTAGCCGATTCCAACGCACCCGTTCCATTATCTCAGTCATTTTGGATTCTTAGAAAAATAAAAAATATGTTCTTGTTTCTTTGAAACCCACAACAATTGATTATTTTTACACGAATGTAAATGTTTATTTCCCCATCAAATCAATTATGTTTTATTTAACCCTAATTAATTTGTTTTATAAGTTAAAAAACGAAATTAATTTATGAATAATATCAACTATTTGATAATTGGGGACGAAGTCCCCCTTACATTGATGCACTCACTTTTACTTAGCTTTTTCAAGGGTTCATACCTGCATTTACTTACCTGATATCAATTTAGACGGAAAGGGTTAGGGCTGGCATTCTGATTGAGTCGCCCAGGGCCATTTTTGACCAAAAACTCCTGTGTTTACTGACATTTCCAGAATTTTTACGTGGATAGGATTTAAGATTTCACTGCATAAAGATGCGAATTTTAGTGACCGTATGTCATTAAATCGGAGGTACACGATTTAGAGGGCATTTTCCAAACAGAGAAATGCTAATCTGGCTCAGCAACAGGACAACGGGTGCAGATTTAGCTAAAATGCTACAGTTTACCGGCTGTGATGAGACTAAATGCCTCGTCGCATACGTTCGTACCCTGATTTAGAGCGGAGTCAGCAAGCTTATATACGGGAGCGTCCGACTCAGTCTCCTACAGTTTATTTAAGAGAATAAGATTCGACAGACTCTCGCTACAAGTTCGTGCCTACCAGCCAGAGCACTATTGACCTGTTCGCGTGCAGTCAGCACTGGAAGCGGTAGTGAGCGGTTGCGAGGAGCGTAGCCGCAGCAAACCCGCGCGGGGTGCCCGCGAAGCAGGGCCGTGCGGTATTTGCGTAGGCGGGCCCAGCGACGAGCATTCCAGCGAACGGACCCGTTGCCCCAACTCGGAGTTAGTTTTCTATTGCGGGGGTCTGGGGGTGCAACCCTCAGCATGTAAAGCTCGCAATGCACTTCTTACATGCAATGACGAGATCTTCATGCAGTTCTATGATAATAGTGTTCCTAATCGCAGATGTGATGTCGGATCGGAAGCTGCACCGATCTGCACGTGATGGCTTAGACCCTATTAATCAATAGCTTTATTAGAGGGCGGGGACGTCGGCCTGCAGTGGAGATTACACTGCAGGGTGTCGGCCCCCTAAGCAACTCAACGGAGCAACGCGACTGAGATGCTCCACTACTAGTATTATTGTATTTTATTAATGAGGACCGAGCATTTTAGATCAGCCGAGAGGATGTTTGTGATGCGTGTGAAACGCTCTGCGAGGAATACCGAGCGAGTACTGTGGTGCTAGCCGAAGGCCGAAGGAACAGCAGTCTTTTGGCGCCATAAAAATAATAGAGAACATTCATATTTAATAATCACATGTTCTTTTTATGCATATATTGTGAAAACCGATTAGAATGTCTTATTGGATTGCTAACGACCCCCCCCATTTGTTAAATCTGACCTCCTAATTAGACTGGGGTACCTCGATTTATCCTCAAGATTATTACCTAGGACGACTTACAGAGTCAGAGCATATGAGTCGGATTTATATTTGGAAATCGACCGATTAAGCCAGGGCCGGCCGATTTGCTTGCTATTCAGATGGAATGTCCGATGTGCAACTGGCATTCGCTCCTTGTAGGCTAAAGCAGCCGCCACGCAACAATCGTTGCAGTCGCTCTTGACTAGGTAGTCAAGGCTACAACACTAACATCAGAACTAAGCAGGAAAAACCGCACGCTATAATACATGCAACTGAGATATGCAGGCGACGCGTTTAAGTGCGGTGTTGCCGCTGCACTTGGCGAGTCTCGGGCCGAGGTAAATGCATGTTGATCGAAATTGCTAGGCTGCACATAATTACGAGACCGATGACCGATTTATACTCCGATTAAAATTGAGACATCCCCGATTTATTAGTCTTCAAATCCGCTATGAGCGATGTTTAACCGGCTAATTCAGGAGGACAAACTAATCGGTTTTCACACTAATATTTTGCCTAGAGCTCAGCGCGCCGCTTCGCCTGGGTATGAGGGGCTTAGGCAATGATAGGGCGCCCCCGTTCCGCTCGCGGAGCTCGCTGCACTACTCGCAGCATGGGGCCGAGTATTTGATACAGTCGGTCCCTGTGGTCCCCCCGAGATTCTAGTAGGGAGCGGGTCCAAGATAATCACGCTCGCTAAAGTGCGATTGTTTGCGTGATTATGGCTATTTTTAAAATTTCGTGTATAGTTTAAAAGCCAGTGCGATTCGATTTGATGAGTGGATAATGCATGTGATAGGGCCGAGGTAATGTAGTCGAGATGACAGGTCTAGTCTGTAGGGGCGGAAAGCGTAGGACTCTCGGTTAGAGGACGGAGAATGAAATTAACCTGGTTTTTATCAGGTAAATATACGCTATGCAATGAACCGTAAATAAATTATTAAGGTAAGGTGCCAGTTGCGTGCCTACAACCAGTTCCGTGCCTACTTGTTTTAGCCAATTAGCATCTTCTCCTTGTTAAACTCTCGTAGTCTATTGGTAGATTTCTCCAGCGTCACATGCAATTTCCGGTGATGAGCCTCCTAGGATTTGCATAGCATACAAAAATGCTATCAAAAAGAGGCAGGAAACTGGCAGCTCACTCCAAATCAACAAGCTTTTCAAAATAATAACAAGAAGTTCTGCAAAATTTACACGGACCAGCGTGAAGTACATAAATTCAGCCCAATCGCGCAGATTTAGCGGGTGCAATCAGATTGCAGAATGGACAATTTAATGAAAAGTTATGCCACAGCAAGTCCGCAAGTTCGAAGGACGGTACAAAACTGGCAGAAGACCTTATGTATATTTCTACATTATTATGTACATTCCGGCGCTTAGGGCTAAATTAAAATGATTAGTACGGATTAATGAAATTTAAATACAATACAAAAGACAACATACTGTATTCTACACGATACATGGTTGGGAACCCCGCAACTTAGGGTCGCTACAACTTTATCACTTCACAAATATTAGATTGTATAGTGCAGTACATCACTGCCCCTACAGTATTTATTTATTAAACTAGTATGTATTACCCCTCTCCCACCCAGTATATGTAGAGTAGCACTGCTTTTAGAACCTGAATGTCAAAGAGGCTTTTCAATGCAAACACACGGGTGAAACTATAGTCTCGTAGTATTAACAGGCGTCGCCTCGGTGCAGGAACCTAAAGTAGACTTTTCCGTGCAACTCAAAAATGAGGCCCTGGAAAACGGCCCCAATGAGCTCGAAAGCGGTATTAATCCAAAGGGCTTGTTCTCACGAGCACAATGGTAGCCGACATAGTCACTTACGCGAAGTAGTTATCGCGTTATGGCCTCTCCGAAATGACGAGTTGAGCGACTCTTTGTCGTAAATTACAGAGTATATTTAAATCCGGTAAGATATCAGAAACGTCTTGTGGTGGTAAATATGACTGACTGGCCTCGTTGTGCTTAGCTCTTTATTGGTCGCAGACCCTCGGTATAATTCATCCACATGATGCTACGGTGAGGCATACCAAAACACAACAACTGACAGGGCACGCGTATCACCAGGGTCCGTTGGTGTCATGGAAGGCGCTTCTTCCCCCCTTCCTTCCTTCCTTCCTCCCTCCCTTCCTCTCCCCTTTCTCTGGTGTCTACAGCGAGTAGCAACCGCTCTAAAATGACGTTGATAATATTATCAACCCAACAGTAGCTACAATATCAACTAGTGCCCGTGCATCTACACCTTTACCTTGTATGCAAGGTAATCTAGTGGCTTTCTTCTCGTATATTGTTGCAGATATTGGACGGATACTCTATTGCAAGTATCCCTCCTATAGATTGAAGCAATGATAAACCATTAGAAACGAAAGCGGGAAGGCTGTAGCAGAGTGAGCGCGCTTAGCAGCTTCGATTTGATAGATTATGGTGACTCTAGAGAGCTATTCGCAGCCTGACACGAAGCTCTCATTCGTTTGTATTTACCTCGTGCTTTTCCAGAAGTCGCATCGGAAAGGTCTTCCTCAAAACGTAGATAGAGTTGTCAATGTAAGTGGGGTGCCATCGTCCATGTGACGCGAATTCGTTTCGCTAGGTTAAACAAGTCCCGACAAGATCCATTGGAATGCATGTCCTGTATTTTGGCACTTTGGAATCCGTTGTTGGTGCGAGATCGTGATATTTTTTATACTGAGGTTGTGAAGACCAAGCTACTTGCATTCAAACTGTTATTGTTTAGCCATTGATTGGCAGTGAGTTTACGATTGTGGGTCTAAATAAAGTGTTGCTTCTTATGCCTTCCAGTTAGACGTCTCCACCTTCGGTAGCTACACTTCCATTGACCTGGCTTTGGCTGAATTGCTTGGAATTCGTCGGTCTCCTAGGTGGCAATGCCTTGCCAGATTTCTTCTGCTTCTGTAGAAGGGCCAATATTCTTGAGCGTATTTCGTTTTCGCCTGGCAAATTGTAGCGTCGAGGATACGCTTTCGTAAGAAATTCTCGCATTCTGGCCGGTCCCATCTGGCATCAGCCACCCCGCGATTGAAGAGCTTCTCCACTTCTTCACTGTACAGAGCAATATATTTTGCACCGTACATGTACCCTTTCTTCTGCCTGCGAGCCCATCCTGGCGCTAATTGTTTCTGCTCTCGAGTCATTTTGACGCACTTCTTCGCCGCTGCGATTACCTTTCTGCCCAGACCGGTTGACTCAATTATATCACTGAAGTCCCCCCCTGTTTGCATGTCCATAAGACTCCGCTTTGCATAAGCTTCGACGTCTTTTTCACAAATGTCACGGCCGTGTGGGTCATTACCAAGTGTGGGGCGCTCACACCTCATATCGCTCGTCCGCATCCGTAGTTGACCAAACCGAGTAATTTGGATTCCTGATAAAGCACCAATAGAACCACCAGGAAGCGCCACAACTGTTGACGTTTCACTTGTGGCTTCTGCATCATTCCCAATTGGCTCAAACTGCTCACATTCATCTTCTCTGTCACT